TACAGGAAGAATGTAACGTGGTTTGTGTAGATTGGGAAGGAGGGGCGTCAATGCCTAACTATCTACGGGCAGCAGCCAATACCAGACTAGTTGGAAAGCAACTAGCTATGCTGCTGCAAGGTAAAACAGACTAAGAAACAAATTACGATAAATCATTTTAAACCTTACTACATATAAATTATATATTGCTTTGATTTCCAGGTTTCGCCAAACACATAGATTTGCGGTTCGAAGACGTCCACCTGATCGGTTTTAGTTTAGGTGCTCATGTCGCTGGTTTTGCGGGTTCAGAGTTGCGGAATATTAGTCGTATTACAGGTTCGTAAAACAAGCTCAAAGCATTACAATACTTGACTAAGATAATTATTTACTACATTTGTACATTTTATACAAACTAGGTATTTGTAGTTCTATACAAAACTAAGTTACTCTACTACACTTTTAATCAACAAAAAACCAAAACTCAAAAATTTACACACATAAAAACTGTAAATACGAACAGAAAATTTCAAAACTCACCTTACGTATTTCAGGACTAGATCCAGCAGGTCCTCTGTTCGAGTTCCAAGATCCAAGGGCTCGGTTGGACCGAACTGACGCCAAATTCGTTGACGTCATCCATTCCAACGGCGAGACCCTCATTTTGGGAGGACTTGGGGCTGCACAGCCTCTTGGACATGTCGATTTTTATCCCAACGGTGGCAGAGTCCAACATGGATGTTCTAACTTGTAAGTAACTTATAAATATCTATTTTACATGGATATGGATAGAGCATAAACTCTAGAATAAAACACATTGATTATCTAAAACATAAATAATATTGGTAGGTATGTAGGTCGTTTTCCAAACATCGACGCGAGATATCGAATGATTTAGAATTGTAATGGGTTAGTATTCAAAACATAATGATTAATACTTACATTGATTTATGATGCTACATATGTGTGTAGTTATATTTTATAATGACCACTGAGCTATGAAGGTTGGACCATGTAGCAAAAAGTTAGATACTAGTTTTAGCTACATTGCTATTGCGTATAAGATAGATAAACACAATGTTAAAATATGCTATTTTGTGATATATAATCACATCACATTTACCGATATAATAAATTATTTAAGTATCTTGAAGTACCTAAGTACATATAAATATACAAGTACGATCAGGAATTGAGAATTTCAAAACATTTCAGTCACTTTGCATTTGCAAGTACAGCCATAGAATGAAAAATTATTCTAATATCTTAAGTTTTTTTTAATTGTCGACTTCATCGCTTTGACAACGTAATTATGTTATTACGAACTCATGGTGCCTCTACTTCTAACTTAACTTCTCAGGTTCGTTGGAGCAGTATCAGACTTTGTGCTGCCATGGGCTGCAGCGTCTCCGGAAGGTCGTTCTCTTTGCAACCACAGACGGGCCTACAAGTTCTTCACCGACTCAGTATCACCAAAGTGTCACTTCCCTGCTTTCCCTTGCGCGGATTACGACACCTTCCTCGAAGTAAGTCTATAGCAATAACTCAATTTAGTAATACAATGTTATTGCACACTGTTTATTTCTTAGATAGGTAGGTACTAACATAGGAAGTCTGGTTTTGCTATCTACATAGACGTCATAAAATGAATTGCGGTTAAAAGGTAATTTGACAGAAAATAGCATGTGTTTGTGTGTATGTTGTATAGAAAATGAAATTAGACTATTATTTCCGACTCATAAGCTTACTTCCTGCGGTGAACCTCAAGGCTAAGCGTTTACACGTGGATCATAAGTAATCATTCCAAATACTATAGTGTCTAACTATAGCAGTCTATAGAAAGTATACAATTCTGTATATCAGATCTATTTATTTCAAAGTTCTTCAAAGTTCAAGTTATATATTCAATATGCGAGAGGACGGAGCAAAGCCAACCTGTGTATACAAACTTCGGAATGCAGCATCAATTTAGCCCAATACCTTTTTTGATAAATTCTCTTGAAAATATGCAGTACAATAAATTTATTGCAGGCGGACCGACTACTTATTGCATATCCATATAATTATAATAGTAGGTACGTTGACCTTCACATTTATATCCTTCTTTGTAATATCAGGGTCGGTGCTTCCCCTGTGACGGACAGCGCCGCTGCGGCAACATGGGGTACTACGCTGACCGGTCCTTGGGTCGTGGCCAGCTCTACTTACTCACCAGGGAGGAAGAACCTTTTTGTGGTATGTCTATTATTTTATACTCTGAAGTTAATAAAGACTTTAGGAGTAGCTAAATTAAAATTGCCTACTAAACAGTCTGAACCAATGGATGGTTTGCGACTAATTTAAAGAATTTATATAAATAAGAATGCTTTGAAACTTTCTTCCAAATATTGTTTTCGTATCTCGTACCTATCCGCAAAAGAGAAAGGCAAATGTGTGCTCAGTCATCTATTATAACATGTCATACCTGCGTCTCTTTCCATTGAGTAAATGCGAAAGATTGTCACTACAGTTATCTTTGTCATTAGTCCTATGACAAAACTGCTTTATTTCTCTAAATGTATATTGTTTTTCCAGCACATCAATACCATGTGTCGGTGTGGGCTAGTAGCGCGGCAGGAGAAAAGCCCAACTTCGGCAGAGTGACGCTGACCTTACACGGAGACTCCGGACTCAACGAGTCCTTCCCAATGACAAAGTACGTACACTAACGATTTCATTTTAAGTTTCGTAGCGTAATTTATTAAAATAGTATACATTCCAAAAATAATAAATACCTAAATTCCACTACATCAATGTTACCTAAATATGGAAAAAACGATAATACAGTAGAAAAGATACAACTTTTTTTTATTCGTCATGGCTGCGCTTATCTAACATAAGTGAAGCACCCTATTCTCTCTGGCTTTCCAAACTCAGGTACCCCAAGTTATATCTTTCAGAAAACATGTTGATAAGTTCCCTCTTTGTCACTTCCACTCCTTAGCAGGTTGTGGACGTGATATCATCAGAAAGCTTCTTGGCTAACATCATCTCTCTCTGAACAGATTTCCAATCCTTACTAATAATAAAAAAGAAGAAAAATCACTGCAATCTAGGTACTCCTAATTACTATGAATCTGTTCTGCAGACGTGAAGACGTAGTGAACGGCAGTGCGCGGTTCACGCGAGTGTTGGTGCCGCACCCCGCGCTGGGCGTGCCGCTGCGCGCCTCCCTGCACTACGCCGGCTACTCCGGCTGGCTCAGTGCCAGCGCCAAGTCCATACACATACACAAGCTACTCATCACAGACAGCTTCGCCAAGACGTAATTACAATTTTCTAACTTCTATACAGAAACACGTGAAGAGAAAGAAAAGTAGAGAATCTAGCTTTACGCTGTTGTAGTAGTAGTTGTAGCTGCACATTTAAAAATAAAAACATTTATATGTTACAGATCATCGTTCTGCAAAAAAGGAATTCAGTTACTATCCGAAGAATCAATTGAAATGCCTCTATACCCTGGTGATTGCGAAATACAAGAGGTATTGTTTTTATTACAATTGACGCTAAAATCACTTCGCTCAATACATACTTAAGTTAATAATGTGTTTTTTTCTGTCACACAGGAGAATGAACTACTGAACGCGACAAGCAACCATCACTACATAAACAGACAAAACACAACAAAGGAAGAAGGGAATACTATTGACCCCGTAGACAACGAACTCCCCGAGGATTCCCCGCAGCGACCCTTTACTTTAGTGGACACGTATGAGTGGACGGGAGGAGAAAACACTGGACGAGCCTTCGGTATGACCAATACCAAGACTGCTCCGAGCGGAGCTATCGAAATCGCTGAGCCAGTGCTCCGACCACGACTGCGAAAAACACCTCGTCAGCGAGCAGACTCACCCGACGAACAAGAAATATCGGAACCATTACTTAGAGCAACGCGACCACCAAGAACGACTACCGTCTCACCGATACGAAAAGCTAAGAACTACGACATGTCAACTACACCCACTTACGACTCAGTAACTTGGGGCGAGAGAGCCGAGAAAGAGGAACCTGGATTTGTTGTCCAATTCCTGCCTTCCCGACTGGCATCGTTCATTTCGAGAGCCGAACGATATGCCAGAGATACCTTACTACCTCTAGTGTCAGCCTATGCACCGCGCTTGCCTATATTCGGCTCCCGAGAGGTGCCGAAACCAACTGCGAGGTTTATTCCCACCGAGGAAATAAATGTCACAAGTTCCGTACCAGTGCCGACACCTACCCTAGAAATGAAGATTGAAACGTTGCGGACAGTTGGACCGCCGGGGGCGAAGCGCGATATGGAGTCTCCCGAAGACCCAGAAATACCAGTGACGACTACAACTACAACCACTACAAGTACGACCACACCACCAACGACAACCACGACTCAAAAAATCAGAGCGTCGCCAACCGAGATGCTGAAAATAGTTCCCGGCCCAGCTGCATCAACAAGCACGGCTCTACCGCCTGTAGCATTGAGAAGTGAAGGCGAAAAGATAGTAATTGTGTACCCGAGCAACGCGAGAGACGAGCGAAAGATACGATCGCACTCGTACCCAGAGGAGTTACAGTTCGAAGCACTGTATCGGCACACGGGCTCACCCACGGACCTGCACGTCGATCTCCCGACCTTCACACCGCCGACCACCACCATCGCACCTAGTACTACGGCGCACTCTAAAAATGAAGCCAGGTATATTCCTGTAGGGTATGTCAAACCAGGCGACGAAATTCAATCCAATTCTAGACAAACGTGATCGGATATTAAGACTGCGAGGTACTATTTAAAGTTGTAAATAATTGCAAGATAATTATTTTGTACATACATACATTTTGTTAAGTAACAACATTCTTACATATTAGTTACATTGAATGTTTTGGAAAGAGTTGTTTTTCTGTTGTTATATGAATTCCAAAAGCCTGAAATTATTGTTGTGTAAATAAATATAGGTCTAACATAGAATAAGAAACTTTTTTAAAATAAAAACTTATTTATTATACAATTCCACTTTCTTTCTTGAACACCAATAATATGTAACATTCGGTGGAGCAAATACCATCAAACTAAAGTGTAATTCCTTAATCAGAACAAAAATAGACATTCCTCTAATGTATACAATTACTAGAAATATTGTTTTATAGAAGTTGATTGAACTATCATAAACAGTGCTATCAAATAAAAATATCACAAGAACAGTGTCAAACTAAATAATAATGGAAACATGAAGATTCTGTCTCATTGGAAATACATTATATGGGTTATAGCATACCTATGAGTAAATATTTCAATACTACGACATTGAATGACATCTAAATCTACATACATGAATGTATATGTACGTAATATGAGATATCGACAGTTGTAAGAAATAATCTATTCAATCAATATAGGCTTATAGGTAGTTGGATTGATCGATGAACTCCTTTCAACATAAAATTAGATGTTAAGTAAACATTTTCTACCATCCATTCAACCGATTTTAACTTGTGTTAGGTGGAATGTCAAATGATGGCAGTAAATAGTTTGTTTTTAAATAATTATTTTGTTTTTTATGCCACGCATAAAGTAAAGAAGTTTAAAATGGGTTAAACAGACATTAAAGGTTTGTTTATATATCTAACATTTACGTGAATAGAGTATAGAGCGCTTAAGTTTACTTCATGTACTTGTCGGAGTGCTGCGTGAGGATGCGTGCTGAGGACTTGGCGTCGAGGAACAGAGTGTGCACGGAGGTGATGTGTGCGGGAGTGATGCGCTGCGCACCGTCCGCTCGAGCCGCCAGAGAAGCCGGCGTCAGTAGCTGTACTGCGTACCTGTTAACATCATTATTATTGGTAAGCTAGACTGCCGATGAATTATTGGCAGATTATATACCACGGTTTTGAACCAAGTATTGTACATTTTAAAGTAAGAACATTCGAAAATGTATTTTATTGTAATGTATTTATTTACCTGAGAGTACTGTTAGCTCCAACCTCTGCGAGCGCAGTAAGGGCTTCATCATCAATAGCGATACCTTCTGTCGCCGCTCGAAGTTTCAATATCTGAAAACATAAAATATTTAAAAAAATACCTATATACCTATATGAATATAATCAAAAACGGCTGAACCGATTTCGTTGAGAATTGGTGGGGATGTAGTTTAGAACCAGAGTAAGGCCATAGGATAGAGTCGCAAGATAGGGTAAAATAGGTAGGATAGGGTACGTAGGGAAGGTAGGGTAGGGTATGCCCTACACCTCCGGAAGTAAAATGACGGAAGTAGGGAGGTTTAGGTAGTAAAATGACGGATGTAAAGCCGCGGGTAAAGCTAGTAACGATATAAAATTATATACCTGCAAAAGCTCAGCTTTGTTGTATGGCAAAGTGCGAATAATCAGAAGTCTGTCCAAAAGATCTAGTGGAATACCGTGTGGGGAAATAATATCTTCAGTACCTCTGAAAAAAAAACGCCATTACAAATAAAATCTACTATTTTATACCAAATACTAAACTCATATACAATGGAACTTTGGCCCAAACATTTTTATCAAAGTTTACTAAGAATGAGTTACCTTATTTGGCATTTTCCCCTGTTGGTAGCGAAAATAACAATAGGCGCAATAGCGGATTCTAACGCTCGGTGTAGGTATGTGAAAGTTTCGATATCTAGCATGTGTACCTGAAAAAATTAAAAATATTTCAATTTATTGGAGCCTTCCCATAAAAAAGCACTTTAACATGTAAACATGAATAAATAAGATAATTACCTCATCTATAAACAGAACTCCTGGCACCAATTCAGCTATACCTTGGTCTATGTATTTATTTACTACTTTGTTGATTTCTTTCCTCAGCTTGTCTGTAACATCAGTCTTATTAGTCTCGTCACATAAATCATACACATATTTTTTACAACATACAACATTTCTTAAGACCTGACTGTAAGAATAAAAAAAAGAAAACCTACATATTGAAAGGATAATCATCTCTAAACAGCTGGTTAATCTCTTGAGACCTTTCAATGGAGTTGCTAGGAGAAAGCTTATAACTTTGTTTGAGGGCTATGTATTTAGCTTTGGTATGTTAGTAGGTAGTTTATGTTAGAGTGGTAGTGATGATAGAATCAAATTATTTAATCAAAGAAGTCTGTACATAACAAAATTAAACACCTTTTTGTCACGTACTTAGGTTTTGACATTTACCACTTTTTAACCCCTGACGAAAAAAGAGGCGTGTTATAAGTTTGACGTGTCTGTCTGTTTGTCTGTGGCATCATAGCTCCTGAATGAATGAACCGATTTCAATTTAGTTTTTTAATATTAAAAAAGATTTTACCTTTCCATCATGGTAAGTCTTAACACAATAGAAGAACAAAAGGTGTGCGAATGTCAGCATTCGCTTGGGATTTAATGAAATAATAGATAACTACTCGCCGCTTCATTGATCAAGTAATGTGTGTGCCTTTTGTAATTGCATACGAGAGGGGTAGCCTCTCCATATGAAGTGGAGGGTATAATTTCATAATATTTGATCCTAAACTAAGGCAACGGACATATATTGAGTGTAAGTTGATTATTGAAATGGCAAAACTTTCAGAAACTAGATGTGAGTGATTTTAACTAATGTTAAATTTACATTCAAATTGACTTTATTATATGATATATGTAATTATGTATGTCTCTTTGTTTTTAACCATTTTTTTAAGCTTTTTAACCATTTACATATACGAAAATAAGGTTTTTTATCTGATAAAGTTATCATCTTTTTTTAAGTTATGAATGTAATTTTACCTGTTATCTCAGTCTTCTTTGGCTTCATTAGTTGCCCCATCATTGACATGATATCTTGCCCACCCTGGGGTTTAGCATTGGCACAATCCAGGTCATGCAAAGTTACATCCTGAACCACCTCTTTCTTCTTGTGTACATCACCTTTTGGCAGCGGAACATATTCTTCAGCCTAAAACAATGGTTAATTTCTTAAAAACCAACTTGTAATATGATTTTCAACTTTATTCCTTGTTAGATAAAGTTGTAATTTAATTGAAAACATAAGTTCTTTATTCACCTCAAGGTCAAACTCAGTGGCAAAGGTATCACTTCTTCCCTGCCTCTTTACAGCTCCAGAGTTGGCTTCAATGTAGATGACATCTCCAACTTCTACCTTTTCTTTCTGTAGTGACTCATAAATGGTAGGGTCCAACTTCAGCTGTTTTGTACCTTTAGCTGTCTTCAGGCCAATTATGACATGAGAAACAGTCTTGCCATAACCTGGAATAATTACCTTACTTTATAAGAAGATAAGATAAGATAAGGTAAGATAAGATAAGATACGTTTATTTGTCAGATAACATGTGTTTACATACAAAATTGAGCATGCAAGATCTTATAAGAATCAGTCAGTCCGTACATGTTTTACCTGATAAGGTGTACAAATATTATTTTTACAATTAGGTTTTTTTTTTTTTTTTAAACTGGACATTACTCTTTTTGTCTAAGTATGTTTGTATAATTGTATTACCAATCCATTTTTAACATAAAAGAAGCAGAACATCCAGAAATCTTCTTTGTTTTACATTCAATTTAATTCTTATAAGATACTAGCTACTCCCGCGCGGTTTCACCCGCTGCTCGGTTCCATTTAATGGTAGCGTGATGTTTTATAGCCGATAGCACTCAGGAATATTGTAGCTATCTATTAGTGAAAGACTTTGGAAATCTGACCAGCGGTTCCAAAGGTTACCCCCTACATATAAACTTACAAATTTTACCTCTTTATAATATTAGTATAGATATATTTTTTAAATGGAGCCAGGAGAATAAACAAATTAATACCTCCAGCCGGATTTTCAGTTTCCACTGGAGTAAGTTCAGTGACTTCTCCTTCATAAACCTCTTTTGTTTCACGAATTCGTAGGCCGATGGCGCGTCGGAAGTTTTCCATAAGTACTTCAGTTTTCTTAATTTCAGTACTGTATACCTCACTACCAACCATAGGGCAGAATGGCACCTGAGAAATTAAGAAATTAAATGTGTGTGTTTGATGTTTCTACTATGCCTTTTCAATGTATGAAATTCTCTCCAGTATTTCTAGAGATTAGTAGTTAATTAGACTAACAAAACAAACATTACATATTTTATGTGTATAGTATAATATTAATAGTTGAAAACATATTTAAATGTGGCATATTAGGTTGAACATATTGGATTTGAGGACTAAATCTTGTATCATGCTGTACAAAATTCCAAGAATGTTATTAAGGAGCATAAATTCTGTTGTCCTTTTGAAAATTATCATACTTTTTTTATTGTTTTTTGTTTTTTATTTCAAAAAAACTCATATTCACATCCAAGGTGGCTAAGTAGACACCCCTTCTATCTCCTGCTCCAAATCAGAGTATCATAAATTCTTTTTTTATTTGTAAATTGTCATGTATTTGCCTACCATAAGCACAATAGCAGGGCAGAAATTGTGTCTAGAGTATGACTGCCTTTGCACACTAGCAGATAAAGCTAATCAATATCTAACATTACATGCACAACATGTAAAATCAGTCTACTTTTTCATAAAATAAAAGTAAAAGTGATTTATTAGAGTCAAAAATGTAAATACTTACTTTGGTTCCTAGTTCTTGGGCAATTGCTAAAGCAATGGCAGTTTTACCCGTGCCAGGGGGCCCAGCCAGGAGCAAAGCCCGGCCAGCCATCTTTTTGCTTCTTATCATATCAACTACTATTCCTGCAGCCTAAAACGTAAATGGGAAATTTAAATTATTATGCAGTTCTCTAAAACAATAAAGGCTAGGCTTATGCTTTAAAATGCATTGTAAGCGCATAACTCAACAATGCTTGAACCAATTTTGCCAATTAGTTTTTTGTTGTTTTGTCTAGAAACGTAGAAGGGAGATCTGCGAAATAGGGACTCTTTCGTCATTAGTGACGTAGTTGGAGTCCCGTGCGAAGCAGGTGGGGCCGCTAGTAAATAGTAAAAGAAAATTGTTTGCATCATTTTTTGTTAAGGACGTTTTTCACGGCGCCTGCAGTGTGTGTTACACACACACGAATTATTAAAATTTAGGCACTCTTCCATTACGACCTTAATAATATTTAAGGCTGATAAATCTGATGAAGTTTGAACTCCATGGTAACCAAAAAACTTAACCTATAAGATAAATCGATAGAGTAGAAACATCTAGATTCTTGGAACTTATCGTTCATAATGGCTTAAGATAATATATTTAGTGTACTTTTACGGGAATCATTATGAATTTACCTCTCTCGCAGATTCCTGCCCCACGAGACCGGCTGCCATTTGAATGGGAACTCCATTTTCATCCAATCCTAAACCTTTAATATGACTGTGGGCTGATATTCTTTGGGTTTTAGCAGTACTTTTTACTTCCTCTATCTTCATTGTGGTTTATTTACGATGTATTTGGGACAAATTATTTTAAAATATTCAAATTCAACACTCTCACACTATTTGCCGCACCACAACAAACTCAAGTTTAGAATGAATGAACGAAATACTAACGAGTGAATGACTAAACAAAATGAAAAAACAATGTGAATGGAATTGGCAACAACTCAGTCACCTCATCAATCATCAAATGGAAATTATGGAAATGGTCAAGAAAAAAAAAGTTCTACTGTAAAAAGATTGAATTGTATTTTTTTATAAGTATTCGTTATGTTTATAAATAGCAAAAGTTTATATTTATTTCCTTCAACAATCTTAGTATCCGTGGACGTGGCTTGAGGAATAAACTAAATCTTTTACAAAGAAACAATGAAATAGATGATGGCTAATGATCTAGTAGAGATACCAAGATTATGTCCTTATTATTAATATCTACCAGCTTACAAGCCAAGATTCTACAAAATAAAAACGAATAATACTGCTTGAAATGAAACAGCTCTTCGCTACAGCTGACCTGTCAGGCTGTCTGTCACAATCTGTCACTTCAGCCATTGATTGAGTTTACCCGTATTAAAATGTAATATGATTGAGTGATAGGAATAGAAAAATATTGGTCTTGAGCATTAAAAAATATTGTATTTACCAGTGTTTAGACGCGCCAAATGTAATAATGTTTAATCGGTATAGATTCAATGAACAAACTATGCGGTAGTAAGCAGATTTGGTAACTTTTTATTGAATGCGTAGGTAAACTGGTAAACAGCTAGAAAATGGAGTATTCACCGCAAAATTTAGAATATGCCGTCTCTGTATTCTATAATGGAGAGCAAAGTGAAAGAGCTAAGGCCCATGCCTGGCTCACAGCCGCGCAAAGAGTGCCAGAGGCTTGGAATTTTGTCTGGGAATTTCTTCAACCAAGCAAGGTAACAAGGTTTAATTTCTTTTCTGATAAACAATTGGTTAATTTTTAAAACCCCATAATCTCATCTATATCCGTCTACATATTGAAAAGCAACAATAGGACAATTTTTATGTCTTGAAATGTATGTAAACTTAAGTTTTTACCTTATCTACTCTATTTACTCTATAAGAGTCTTTACTGTTGTCTGATATTTCAGGGAACCGAAATTCAATTCTATGCAGCAACCACACTACATACTAAGATTCTTCGATGCTGGAATGAGGTGCCACCAGAGAGCTATGAAGAGTTGAAAAACAAATTACTCGAGGCTGTGTTTACTTATTCAAAAGGACCTAAGATTGTTACAAATAGACTATGTATCAGTGTGAGTATCAAACAAATCATGTAAAGTTATTTTGTTTTACATTCAAATGTGAGACATTATTTTATCTTAATATCAATATTTTATTTGTTTCAGTTAGCAGCATTTATCTTACAACAAGGAACGGTGGATTTGGCTGCAATATTACGGCCTCTGTCCACTCCAGAAAACACTGCACTATTATTAGAAGTACTTACTGTGATACCTGAAGAAGTATGCATACCATTACTTTACTTGATTAAAAATCATTAAAAAAGATTCTAGTATCAACACAAAAAGGAACAACTATGAACTTTAAATTATTTCAATAATTAGTCTAAAGGTTGTAAGGTATAATTGCAGTCTCTTTTATTGCTAAATTAAATTAAATTTTCTATTGTTTACAGTATAATAGTATGACAATGGGATCCTCTCTGAGAATCAAAAATCGCATAGCACTGCAAGAAGCTTGTCCTGCAGTTTTAGATGATATGCTGCGATGTCTGCAGACTGTCTATAAGTAAGTTTATTTTACTTTATTATGTTTTGCAGTTTCTTAACTGCAAAAAAAATCTTTAAGAACATTTGTATGTCGTCTTAAATATATAAGATTTTTTTTAACTTTATGTCAACAATTACATAATTATTACTCACCTTTAGACCCTGAAAAGTAGGCATACAATTATAACTGCCACCATCGATCACTAATAAAGAACTAGATACACAATCCCATACAAAAGTTCGCTTCAAAACTGTCGCCAACTGTATTTAGGTACTTATACTTGAAATAAACATGCATTAATGTAAATTAAACCTTAAATGCAACTCATAGAGTTGTTTTTACAAAGTGATGTACAAAATCTTAATACTTTTTGCGACCGAAGCTCTTGACAAACATAAATCATAAGAAATTGAACCATATTCGCATGTTTTTAAGTCGAATTTACAAAGTGTCAAAAATAAGCAATAAAATTTAACGACTTCGGCTCACCGCTAGGACAAAGAATGATTGAAGTCGAAATGTCTCGTAAGAAATATATTTCTTTCGTATTTTATAATTTATCAAAAAAAGAAAATACGCAAATTAAAACGCACTACTTATAGTATTCTTTTCTATAGGTTTGTTCATTTATTTACCAATGAAACTAATGCATATAGTTATAATTCTTTTTTATTATTTTCGTCCTCCTTAATCCTTTCTTTTCGAAGTCAAATAAAAAAGATGTAAAATAATAAAAAGAATATATATCTAAAGTAAGTACTGAAAATGTTGGCGTTATTGTTGTCAATTTTTCATATCGCACGGGTCTCGATGAAAGCTAAAAAAAAAAATTTCTTTACTGCAGTTAAAATTAAATCCATTACATCTGCCTATTCCATATTTTAATAAACACAGTAAAGAAGTATAATATTAAATAAAAACTATTTTTTAATAAAAAAAAACAATAAATAAAATTAGAAACACGTGGATTGATTCTGTTCCGTTTAGTGGAGACGCTATTCTCCACTAAACGGAACAGAATCAATCCACGTAAACCGAACAACTTAAGTGGTCATGCTAGAGAATGATTTTAAGTTTAGTATAAGTGTCTTTATAAACTATGTGCATTATAACCCCGGTTTTTGAATACGATTTCATTTGGAAAAAGTTTTAAAGTTGATTTCTTAATAAAATATCAATATTTAAAATAGAATGATTACAATTATATAATGATAATATTATTACTTAACGAAAATATTAAATTCCATCCTTTTTCGCATCTTAGATGTGTGTTTTTTGCAGTTTTTTAACGAGCACTGAGGCGTGTTTACCGTCGGAGCATTCAAGTGGTACTAAACTAAAACTACACCGCGATGTTGAGTTTGGTGGACTTTCAGTTAGGACATTTTTTTGACACTGATTGTGTATCTAGTTCTTTATTAGTGATCGATGACTGCCACCCATTTTTATCAGGTCTTTCAGGGATTATCTCATTCATTCAACAGGCACCCTTTCAGTCACCCTTTTTTTAGTAACTACAAGATTTTCGACAACACCAGAGCATTCCAAAAATATTTTCTTTAACAGATAACATACAATCATTATGAATATTCTGATCACCAGCCCCGAGTACACCAAAGAGGCTCCGTCGGAAGAGACAGTGCAGGGCTGGGTTACGGTGGCAACGTGCGCGTGTAGCTGGCTGACTCTGGGCGGAGAGGACGCGGCTGAGCACGCGCGCGGCTCGCTGCCTGACCGCATGCCGCTCTGCCGCGCCTTACTGGCCGTCGTGCAGCTATTGTCCAAGTCAGTATACAAGTTTTTCTTTTATAGTAAAATAATATAATAATTGTTGAGCCATGTGTGTGTTAGTACGTGCTTTCACTAACAAGAAAAGAGTAAGTTGACTTTTTAAAGTAAAAAAACAAAGGTTGTTAAAGTAAAAAAACAAAAAGAGCCAGTTCTAAATTTTATTATGTGCCCTGTAATTAAGTTTTGTTTGAAGGTTTTGTACAAATGTGAGCAAATTACAATTACCTACAATTATTGTATTACGGTTTGTGTTGTTAGTAGCTGTGAGATTGGGACTTGTCATTAGAGATTTTTGGCTGTCTTTAGCTTTAACTGCATGGAATTGAAGATACGGTTTCGAATATGGGAATAAAATTCAATTAGCTCAAAAGAGCCTATAGCTATGTAAATCCGCGCAATGTAAATAAGCTTTTATTGGGATGTAGTGTCTTGCTTATGCTATGGAGCTTCTTGCTCGTTTTTCTCCAATCACTTAGCATCGAAGAATAGACTGTCAGATTACTGGTTCTATTTATTATATTCTGAGAGATTCTATTTTGAGGTGATGATTGGAACAAATGATTTTGGTTTCACTTTAGGGAATGTTTTATTTAGCGCTGATTTTTCAATAATCAGATAAATGTTATCTGAGGCATGAAATTGTTGCTGTTACAGTCTTATATAATCATTCTGACGCGACAGCATCATAATTATTCCCCAGGTAACTTCTATTTAACCATTGAAAAATTAGCCCTTAAATTATTAGAGTTGAGTGTTTGGAAATGGCCTGTGTAACGATGTGAGACATTGTAGCTGGAACTCAGTGGTGAGTGACACGGCGCTGGACGCGTGCGAGGCGTGTCTGTCGGGCGTACGCGCCGCGGCCAGCACGTCGGCGGCGGCGCGCTACCCGGACTCCGCGCTGCTACTGCTCGCAGACCTCGCCGCGCTCACTGCGCCCCTCATGGCCAGGGACAACGTACCCAACTCCGTCAACGAGGTAATGTATTATTTTTTCATAATTAATTATATGTATACTTGACATTACATCTTTCACTCAGTGAATGAGTATACTGAGTTTCATTTTTTTTTTGTATATAACTTTGCCCCACACTAAGATTTTCTCCTGTGTCGTGGCTGCGTTCACAAACACACAATTACAACCAAATTCCACCCAGAGCCGGAACAACAATTAGTGGATCACACAAAGATTTATTCCGGGCGGGAATCGAAGTGAATCGATCCCGCGACACGTTGCACGCACACCGCACCAACCGTGCAGTCAAATTGTTTCCTGTCTCCCCGTTTGTGTATGGGACCGTATAAGCAAAGAGTGTGTTGTGTATAGGAGCTGTTGGCGGCCCTGCTGACGTGCTGCGTGGCGCTGGGCGAGAGTCACGCGCACAGCGTGGTGACGGCGGCAGAGAGCGGGGACGACACGGACGCCGCCCGCGGGGCGCGCCAGCTCATTGAGCTCATACTGGCCGCGCAGGCCGCGCCCGGACACTACCCCATACACGAAACTAGGTCCAACCTTACCTTCGGCTTCTGGTATACATTGCAGGTAATGTTTTTTATACTAATACTTCCTATTCAGTCACTTCATACCTGTGCTGTGATGGTTTACAAAAAATATAATGAGGCCGACCAAAAGAATACGAAATCAAGTCTAGTAGTACACTAATATTCGTGACCCTGTATACACAATATAGGGGTAACAAAATTAATTCAAGACCTTAAAAATTTTACAACAAAAAGTTTCTCGTAGAAGTTTGCACACTAATGTCAGTTGTGGTGACGAAGTTAAATATTGGTTTTGAAAGTTCTTTTGTCTTGATTTATCGAAAGCGGTAACACAGCAGTAATTGATACCTATGTGTTGCCACATACCTACGGGTGTTTTTCTACTTATTTTGTAAATCATTGTTTATTTATATCCAGGATGAAATACTAAACTTGATGGACAGAACGAACGACATCCATCAAGTGTGGAAGCAAGTGTTCTCGCGTCTGCTAGAGACTTTAATCACAAAGTCTATCGCGCCGGCCGACGCCAACTTGTCCAAAGACGACCTCGAGCTACTACGGTGCTACCGACAAGACACTGCTGATACTGTGGTTGGTATCTAATGTAATTTGTTTATTTATTAAAACTGTGGGTTAGTTAAATGTATGCGCGGTGCCTAAATTGGAAGTGACTAGAAGAAAAACATTGTAGTATAATGGAGGATGCAGTACCAAAAGTCGACTATTTAGTCCTAAGGTTTACACACATTGAAACGAAGAACGACATGATGAAATTACTTTAAATATTAAAAAATAATTACGTATGCATTGTTTAATGCAATATCGGAAAATGGCGGTCATCCCAAATTCATTGCTATGCCAACTTTTTTCAACGATCTGTTCTATGTACGTTGGACGGTACTATCCAATTGTGTGCATAGTCTCTTAACTAGAGCGTTTGTAGTACCAGGTGCTTGAATGTAATGATGGCTCGAGAAGCATGTAGGGATGGCGCAAGTTTTATTTGACGAAGGTGAAAGGTTTGTAATGGCTCGATTATGGGGACTTGGAGGCGTCATTTCTCGCGAACACAAACTTAAATGAGCAATATATATGACAGACATTCGACACCGCGTCTTTGTATGTGAGGTCTACGTGTGATACATAAATGTTTAACAAGTGGGTTCTGTACGTGTGTCAGATGTACTGCTTCGGCGTGCTGGGCGAGTGGTGCTGGAGTATAGTGGAGCGCAGCTACAGCGGCGCGGGCGAGGCGGAGGCGGGCGCGCGCGAGGCGGCGCTGCACGTGTTCGCGGCGCTGGCCGACGCCGCGCCCGCGCAGCGCCTGCCGCCCGCGCTGCTGCGACTGCTGCATCATGCGTTGCGTGCCGCCCACTCCGACACCAGCCGCCCCATGCTCAGCACCGCGCTCGACTGTCTCGGTAAGCAAGGCACACCTATTTAGATATACCCTGTATGTTACACGGCGACCACTGCCCAATACATTGCATAGAACACACGTTGTTTTATTCAAAATAGTCGCATAAGAATCACGACCTTAGCACCCTAACAACGAATGAGCAGCTAGTGACCATTTACATCGTCACAAACAGATAGATAAATCACTTGATGGTAAGTAATTACTGTGACTGATCTATGTTCACCAGTGCCTACAAGTGGACCTCTGTTATAATCACGTACGTTTTACACGAGTTTTTTGTACGGCCGCAGTAAATTCCGGTGAAACCGATCTTGAATCTCCTGTTAACGTTTATTTTGTTACACTTTGTATAGGTAAATACTGATAATCTTACTAATATTACAAATGCAAAAGTTTCGATGTTTCTTACTCAATCACACCAAAACGGCTGGACGGATCAGAATGAAGTTTGGCACAGGTATAGGAAACACTCCGAAATAGGAAATAGGCTACTTTTTATCAAGATACCACGCGAGTGAAATAAAATGAACGTGCTGGTACTTGCCAGGCGGGTACGCGTCATGGGTGGGGTCGGTGGCGAGCGTGTCCTCGGATCCGGCGGTGCAGTCGCTGGGCCGGGAGTGCGTCCGCGCGGCGGGCGCGGCGCTGCCCCGCTGCCCGCCGGCCGCGGCGCTGGCGCTGCGCAAGCTGGCCGCCGACTGCAGCGGGCCCGCCGCCGCGCTCGCGCCCGACATCGTACACGCCGCACAGGTAACACTACACTACATCACCAACGGCATTATAATCATCCTCTCTATTCATCTAGACATTAGCTTCCAATAGGATACCAATCGGCGCCGTCCATAGATACTTGCAACACCAAAGGAGTTACGAGTGCGTTGTCGGCCTTAGGGATAAAGGTTTAGGATAGTTAAGGAGTAGAAATGAAAAAGGGAGGGGGGAGGGATTAGGCCTCCAGTAACCTCACTCCCACATTTAATCTTAAAATTATGGACTTAGTGGCCTTGGTTTTTCTAGCAGTGTGGTCGTGAATAGGTAAGTTTTTAAACTCTGAGGAAGTAAATGAAGGAAAAACGAGTGGTCGAAGATATTTTGTGTCATACAAACCGATCAATAACAACTGACGCCGCCTATAGAACTATTTGAGAATCAGACGGTCTACCATGACGTGTTAAAAGTGTGTGTGTGTTCTCCCACACTTTCCCATACAAACCGATCAATAACAACTGACGCCGCCTATAGAACTATTTGAGAATCAGACGGTCTACCATGACGTGTTAAAGCGTGAATCTTGCGGGCGAGAAGGAAGGATGAAGCTATACACCGTTTATAGCTCCATCCCTCTTACTCGCCCGGGACTTGACAGGGACTTGTAAACTGAGGATGAAGAGATCTGCGTAAGAGTTGTTTAACCTCGGTTCCCCGGTCGTGGTACTGAAGTACAGTAAGGCCGCCGTATCTTGGTGAGACTGAAGTTAGCTGTCTGTCTGCGCAATGGATCTTTTAGGAACAAATTTGTGTACTGCGCAGCTAATCGGCTAACTTCAGACTCGCCAAGATACGTTGGCGGTATTGTGTGTGTATGAACATGAGTGTACGGTATGTGTCGCGGTGGCAGTCGTTCCAGGGCGGCGCGAGTAAGTCGGACGCGTGGGTGCGGCGCCAGCTGGTGTGGGCGGCGGGCGCGGCGCTGGCGGCGGCCGACGTGTCCGCCGCCGCGCGTCTACTGCGGCCCCTCGCGCGCGCGCTGCACGACGACCTCGTACGGCAGGTACACAATACACATACTCACTCATTACGGTACTCTCTAACTAGACGAATTCAATACTTTATCCAAATGTCAAAAACGATACTTTTGTATGAAAACTGAGTTATGACGTCATAGTATCTATGCGTGCGTCAAATAGCTTACTTACTCAGTCTATAAGTTAGAAGTGCGTCGCGACCTTTTGGAGACTAGGGTTTCTGATATTTAAAGATTGCGAAGGGATATGCTGTAGAATTTGTTTGCTTGAACGCGCTAATCTTCGGAAATACTGGTTCAAATTGATCATTTTTTTGTTTTTTTTAGTCCATCGCACAACACGCTACGATATCGTAGCGTAGGAGCCGAGCAGTTAGTACAATAGCTAGTTTGAAATAAATGATTTGACTTATTTTGTCATATTTCCAGGCGCAGTCGCCAGGCGGCGGCGCTACAGCGGCAGAATGCTGCGCGGCGCTGCTGGGGGCGCTGGCGCCGCGCGGGGCGCTCGCTGTCGACCTCTTCCGTGCGCTGGCGCCCGCACTCCCTCCATACGCTAATAACGCCGCGCTCGTTGAGGTCAATATTTATTTTAAACATTTTTAACAGGCATGCGCTATTACTATAACGTTTTCTTGACTAGGAGCTTAATTATAATTAACTTAAAGAGAAAAAAATACAGCGATGCGTTACACAGCCATATTGCAATATGGAGAGTGTGTTGCCGACTTAATTAAAATTACATTGTCTATTATAGACTAATACCAACAAAATGACAATAGACTCGAGTTTTACCCACCGAGGCTGTCTGCGAAGTGTGAAATCAACTCTTTAGTTTTGGTTTAACAGTGATTGTTCGTAATAACGAGTCATCATCAGCCTGAATCCGTCCACTTTTGGACATAGGACCACCTAGCTGGGGGCGCGCCTAAACGCGCTCTCCACTCTAGAATACGTCACACGCCAACGGTCATCGGTTCTTTGGCTAATGTGACCTGCCCACTGCCACTACAGTTTGTTAATCCTTTGAGCTATGTCATTTTGGTTCATTCTAATATAAAACTCTTTCTTCACAGTCAATGTTCCACATATTGAAACAGACGGTATCGTCTCTAATAGACGAGCTACTGCCCGTAGTGTCGGACGTGGCGGAGCTACTCGTCGCTGGATTCAACACGTGCCCCTGTGCCTCCGGGCTCGATGTTGTTAAACTGGTAAATTACAGAGTCATAAATAGCCTAAAACATAGATACCTATTCGGTTTTTGATCTTTTTTTTGTTTGAGAACCTTCTCTGATTAGATCTCTAAAATGTAATATTATTCGAATGAATTCAGTTATACCTACGACTCTTTAAGGTTTGGGACTTATTGAGATTACGTTGTATTTCAAAAGAGAGTTAACATAAAGTTTTTGCCTTTTCTTTTGCGGACGGACTACCAGATGGTAAGCAATCAACGCCGCTCATGGACACCTGCAACAGTTACGAGTGCGTCTTATTAGCATTAGGGATTTGGAAATTTTGGGATTGGGGAGGGAAGGATGGTAACCGTGTAACCTCAAACGGCGGAACACATCGCTGTAGTCGTTTCACGCCGGTTTTTTGTAAGGCCGTGGCCCCGGTCGAGTCGACCCATTGGTACCGATGTAAAGCTTTCCAATCTGATTTACCTTTTTTATCGTATACCAATAACAATGCTTGATTTTTCATACGTTAGATGGTGATAAGCGTGGGTGGGGAATGGGACGGGTGTCGCAACGTACTGCGGGCGAGCGTGGCCCCCAGCGCCCGGCTACTGGCGCAGGAGCCCACGGCGCGCCCCGACATCACCGAGGGACTGTTCACATTGCTACAGACCATCACAAAGAAGAAGCCGCAGTACATAGACTGGATTGATGACATGTTGCTCAATCTCATCGAAATAGGTTTGTTACTTGTGTTTTTGCTGTATAAGGTGACATTTGGAACGAGGGACTTATTCAAGGACCCGATTTCGGTGCTCACAACAACTTTCCCATGGGAACAGTATCCAAATATCAAAAATAAATTTATTTTCCCATACAAATCGTAATAGCTGATTTATTATTTTGCAAGAAGTAATTTTTTTTTTGAGATTTCCATTTTGGTATTATGGGGAAAGTTTCGGCATTGCTTCTAAGTGGTTAGATTGAAAGTGTCGGCTTCATTTTGTTTACATGCACTTTTGACGTCTAAAAGTATTGTTTTAAGGCATATTTACAAAAATAAATTCATAGTTTTAAAGTTATAATTGAAAATGATAAGTCAAGGTTTCCTCACGATGTTTTCTTTTACCATACAGTAGAAGAAAAAAGTGTCGGAAGTGTGATAGTTGAATGTATGTTTGTGTTCCGTGTAGCGATGTGCGCAGTGCGCGTGTGGGAGGTGGGCGGGGCGCGCGCGGCGTGCGGCTGGCTGAGCGCGCTGGCGGCGCAGCGCCCGCTCGCGCTGCAGCCCTACGCGCCCGCACTCACCGCCACCGCGCTGCTCTGTATTGGTAACCTACTACCACGTCCGCACACACTCACGCTTATCTAGTTTTTTTTCTGTTATACACTTGTCACAACTCTATACTCAAACCCTATATCGCTGATGTTCAGCCGAGGCTGCGGAAGCACAATAAGGCACCGCGGCCTCGGCCCAGAGCAAGAGAAGGAACGGAGTTTTAATCAGTAAGAATCTGACACTCCCTCCCGCCCTACCCTGGGCGGGAAGTCATTTGATAATTTTCCCCTCACAAAAAACATCTCTATAGTAGTAACGTAAATAGTAGAAACTTTTCATTTCAGGGTACACAAAGAATGCATTTCACATATTTTCCATTATCTCGTCAGTTTTTTTTTTTGATACCGTCATCATTTTTTTACAATTATTTTTACAGTAAGTAATAAAAGTTTCCATCGTTTCCCCTTGTTTTACTTTGTTTCTTTACAAATTGCTGAATTGCACTACAATTTAATTAACATGTATTAGGTTCTATAAATTAATAAAATCAGGTTGTGTATCTGTGCCAGGCGGAATGACGCCTCGAAACCAAATCGAGCCGTTAGCGGATTTGTTGCTATCTTTGAACCGCGCGGCGTGGCGTGACGCGGGGCAGGGGGCGGGGCCAGGGGCGTCGCAGGGGGCGGGGCTTGCGGCCTGGCTGCGCAGCGCATTGGCTGTGCCGGACTTCCCTACGCAACACGCTACTGACCCACATAAGCACAAGTTCATACAAGCAATCATCAAGTATGTACATAAACAACTCGCTAATATTTTATTTTTATACTTTTTGCACAATTTTGTACAATAGCTTGATAGACTTGATGCCGAAGGCACTTTCTTCCGGTCTGCTTCGGGTGATAGACGAAATTAAATTCTCATCCGATTTCTACACGACATCGTATCGTTAGTGTCCGTTACCCAGGCCAGATGTTGTCGACAATGGTCATTTGAATCTTATAGATAATTAGTTGTGCGGCTTCTGTAATTGTTGCGCACATTTTTAAATTTGTTGCGCTTATAGTTTTTTAATTATTTCCCAAAAACATTTCCTGCTGGCGTAACGTTACCACAGCCAGACCTTTTTCTTTCTAATGGGAATATTTAAATAAATATTAGCTATAAAATTAGTTGTCTAGATAAAGTAAATGTTGTGCCTTATTTTGTATTTGTTCTTTCTTCGGTTGCGAAGTTATTCGAGATTTTGCTGCGGTAACGTTTTTGGTTTTGCTAGATCTTTGAAATGGTTAAGCGGATTCTTATCATATTTTGTACACGACTTCCGAGGACTTAGTTTAAATTTGTTGTGCAATAACAAAACCAAAATAATGCATATTTTAAAGGTTTTTTCATTAAATAGAAAAACACTTCAATTGGCCCCAGCACTCCCAATAAGAAGTCTAAAGACTTACTTCAAACGTAATTTTAAAGCTTGTAACTGCCTTCAAATGTATGTGAAGTTTCATTAGTATCCCGTAAGTATTTAACAAGTTATGATGATATTCAGTTCTTCACGAGCACGGTCTTAATGCACGCGGTGTTATTTGGCCACTGGCTTGGATATATGAACTGAATATTATGTCAATGATTAGTTGTTTAGATCAGTTGTATATCAGTAAAATTTCAGCTCAATACATTGGATAATTAATGAGATAATACTATTAAAGTCATTAGGAAGTGAATGACCGTGGTAAGCCGACCAAGTTTAGGTGGTTACGAAAAAGCGAAAACGCAGAACATTATGGTACCTTCTAAAAAATGTAGGATAGTGTTATAAATTTAGTACAGACATGTACAAAAGTTTAAAAAAAACTACATGATTATTCAAGATTTTTTATTGAAAGGTAAAATAATCATTTCAATTGAACTTTTACTCCTTTACTTATAAAAACTTGTGTTGCTTAGCAACCGATTAAACATCACCCGTTCTTGTCATTTCTATTTCAAAATGCAGTTCAAAAATCATCTAAAAGGTTACAAAAGTAACCTTCTGGCAAGACTGAGTGCGTTATGCAAACAATGTATTCACCTTCACCCCACTCCTCCTGCGTCCTACCGAACGGCATGCTCTAGCGGTGATTTTTGATAATTTTGTGGAACTGGAAGATAATGTTTTCTTTTATATTATTATTATATAGGTAATTACCAGTGTACGCGTCTGTACCAAAATTGTAAGGTGTATTATACTAAACATTTCAAAAGATAGTACAATGTTCTGCGTTTTCGCTTTTTCTTAACCACCTAAACTTGGTCGGCTTACCACGGTTATTCACTTCCTAATGACTTTAATAGTATTATCTCATTAATTATCCAATGTATTGAGCTGAAATTTTACTGATATACAACTTATCTAAACAACTAATCATTGACATAACATTCAGTTCATATATCCAATCCAGTGGCCAAATAACACCGCGTGCATTAAGACCGTGCTCGTGAAGAACTGAATATCATCATAACTTGTTAAATACTTACGGGATACTAATGAAACTTCACATACATTTGAAGGCAGTTACAAGCTTTAATATTACGTTTGAAGTAAGTCTTTAGACTTCTTATTGGGAGTGCTGGGGCCAATTGAAGTGTTTTTCTATTTAATGAAAAAACCTTAAAAATATGCATTATTTTGGTTTTGTTATTGCACAACAAATTTAAACTAAGTCCTCGGAAGTCGTGTACAAAATATAATAAGAATCCGCTTAACCATTTCAAAGATCTAGCAAAACCAATAACGTTACCGCAGCAAAATCTCGAATAACTTCGCAACCGAAGAAAGAACAAATACAAAATAAGGCACAACATTTACTTTATCTAGACAACTAATTTTATAGCTAATATTTATTTAAATATTCCCATTAGAAAGAAAAAGGTCGGGCTGTGGTAACGTTACGCCAGCAGGAAATGTTTTTGGGAAATAATTAAAAAACTATAAGCGCAACAAATTTAAAAATGTGCGCAACAATTACAGAAGCCGCACAACTAATTATCTATAAGATTCAAATGACCATTGTCGACAACATCTGGCCTGGGTAACGGACACGTATCGTTATGAAAAAAAAAAAGATTACTATACTTGCTACGAATGATGACCGTGTTTTCTTGGTAAGATGAAATTCGTTGAAATTATAGTTTTCCAAATAATATTACAGAGCTGGATACCTGTACCTCCATTTGCTATATAACCTGTTTTTATGTGTCCAGAGAAAAAAGCAGCAAACGAAGAATACTGGAGTCGGTACAAGAGTTCTCGCTCGTGTGCCGCGGCCTCGTGGACACCGAATATGCGCGGCAGACCATCGCTTCCAAACAACTAGTGGCATAGACTATACACTATCAAAGCATGGAGTACAGACATAAGGAGTATCATCTTGTATGACATGCACATTTTTTTCTGGCGAACTCTATTACTTAATTGCAAATAATGCAAAAAAAGTATATTTTTTTTTACATATTTTCTAATACTATAGTGGCTTCTCCGATTTACAATTTCTGTAGACTGTAGATAGAGATAGTTCTCCATACTTCTGTACTCTATGGAACACGGTTTTAAATCAATCTCGTCATCTGTTATAACGCAGTCTTCCCTTCTGACTATTAGGACGCACCAAAGTAGACGTGTCAGTTAGATACCTACCAATATATTTGTAACGTTTTTCTATCGCTTTTGATGATTAGAACAACAATTACAGTTGAAATTACATTATGTATATACTATACATCTTCTATTATAAACAAGACATTGTAAATAAATACATACAAACGTGATATCATCTGTATATAGTCGTATAACATTACTTAATAGACAAGTAAATAAAAGTATTAAGAATATATGTTATATCTTTATTTTTAAATAATAATAATTAAGTTTGTAAAATACTATCGGACAACAATTCCACTTACGCTAACAATTTATGAATAAAGAAAAATATTAAGTGTATATTAACATAATATGAAAATGCTTCATAACAGTGATTTAGTATCTCGCTCTGGATGGATCTTAGAGACAAAACGTTTTAAAATAATAAATAAAAAAAAACAAAACAATAATTCATCAATACCGGGTAACATGGAAGCCAAAATTAATATACCTACTTATTCTTAATTCCTTTTCACACGCTTCCGTTGGTAACCGTCGCCTGAAATCCGGGGTGACCGTACACTGGCCAGCAAGTTGTACTATTCCAGTCTATCAGTATCTTTTAATTATTTTTTTAAACTTTTTGGTTATGAGGTTTATGGCCCGGAGGTTCGGGTTCGAAACCTGGTAAGAATCAATGTGACTTTTTCAGAGTCATATGTACTTTCTATGATTATTTAGACATAACAGACATACGGTGAAGGAACACATCGTGAGGAAACTTGCAGACTTATAATTTCTAATTATAAGTTTTAAATCGGGAATTCGTCTTGAGCAAACGTGGTGATTAATGCTCAAACCTCCGTGTGAGAAGAGGCCTTAAAGGCTGATGATGTGATGATGTAACTTTTTGGTATAACAATAACAAAGTTGGCAAATCTAATCAATATGAGAGAAAGAATATGTCGATCTGCTAGCCACTTTTCGAGAGAAGTGTGAAAGCTATCTATATATTTTATATAATTGAATTCATTAGTTTTATTCTATATATTTGATCACCCCCGACACGTCAGCGGCTACAAGAGAATCGGACCATGTGGAAAAGTCTTAAAATTATTACTGCCAGGAAAATGCAGATACATCTTTTTGACAACACAAACAAAAGTCGGGACTAGGCAAAAAAAAAGTCATGGAAAAGGTTGACATGATTTTTAATCAAGATTTCTGATACGAAACGATAATTTCAAAATTATATTATAGTTAAAATTATCGTTTTAGCCGGACTAGGTGTATAAAGCCGAAACTGACCGGCTAATTGGATCTGGCAACTCATTTAATATAACGAACATTACATTACTTTAGACATATTACATATTATCAACACTGAGCAATCTATAACTATGATGGATAATAATCAACTAGATCTAAACAGTAAGCAAATATTGTTATTTATGTATAATATAATCACGGATCGTAACGGTAGCCTGCCACCGGGATATTTCGGAATTTACTCATGATACGTGTTATTGAGAGGAATTGATTAATAAAATAGATGGCGTTATCAGATTATGGTAAAAGCGTTAATTACCATGCTGAAGAATAGAAACACATTTCTACTTCTACGGAAGTAACTAATTGTTTTACATTTTTGAAACCTATAGAAGTATTAAAAGTCGAGCTAACGATGAGCCGGTGAGCTAGTTCTACTATAATGTTATTCCCGACCGTGTCGACATTATCAAATTGTTCGTTGCAACACAAGAGTAAACCCCAATATAGAAAACCATTGCGGAGTTATTCTCGAAATATCCCATAAAGGCCAATGTAACTATAACATACATTCAAAACTTACGTCTATACTATTGAGATAGTCGGAAACTAGAGAACATGTCTATTAACATTCCATAAATGTGATTGAACCACTACACAACATTGAGAATCTGTTTATTTCTGGAAAAAAAGCTTACACACAAGAATGCGTGACGAACCTGAGATATGTGATGTAGATGTCAAAGATATAACATTACAACGACAAACTATAAACACTATTCTATTATAAAATAATCGATATCCTTTCAATAAAACTTAACTTTAATAAAAATGTTATCACAGTTTAAAATGCAGACTTTTAAAGGTCACATTTTAAACTATATAACAATCAATCACAGATTAAACACATAATTATCGAACAATATAACTAGCTTCACATAGCCGTGGCTAGTTCAGGAGCGCTTTTGCGCAGCGTTTTATATCGTACGTAAAGTAATACGCATTTTCGGCTTGCGCCAGTCTCCTAGCGTGTTGTACTTGCACTTATCTAAGCACAATTATATAATACCTCTTCATTAATGTTAAATATTTATGAATCAGAATCTTCTTTTAAATCCTGAGCGTTGATGTCCGGTGCTGTCCTGATTTCGACATCGAAGTCTAAGAACTTGTCTGGCTCGCAATGCCTGTTCTTGAAGCGAAGGAAGTTGAGCGCCTGGTCGAGGGTCAAGTGGAAGCAGTCCTGACGACTTACATTTAATGACGAGCTCTCGAGGTCGCTGTGTGTGGCTCGTTTATACGCCAGACTTCTCGAGTTGTGTTGCCCCACCACGGAGACCTATAGACAAATTATTGGCGTTACACTATGGTCTAACGATTAAGGTAATTAAGTAAATGTAAAGTTGCCTAAAAATTTTATGTAATAAATGATTACAATCACATATTCACCCAAACCGATATGAGATTATAAAATAAATTTAAATAAACTTTGTATGTATGTTGACGATTCATTAATATAAAAAGACATACCAAGATTGTTTAGCTTTAGTTAGCCACCTAGACCGATAGACCACAATTACTAAGTTAATAAGAAGAAAGGTGGCGCGATAAGGTGAAATATGTTTTAACTCAGGGGCAGTATGAATTTGTAAGCTAAATAAAATGTACCTCATAAACGTAATTTTTGGCCTTGCGCTTGGGCCCTATGTAGGAGACATATACGATGACCCCCCAGGTTCGGATGTCGACGTCGACGCGCAGGTGGAAGTACTCATCCAGCGCCATGATCAGCCACGTGTCGTGCTGCTCCGAGTTTACCTTCATTGAGAACTTATGCTTCCCTCCGATCTTCAGGATGGGTAGGTGCTTGCACTGAAAACGTTTTGTTTTATAGGTTCATAATTAGTACGTTATTCAAAATGCGTTGTTATACATTTCTTTACAATTTCAGAAAAACAAACACGAGACCTTTGGCAAACCGAAATATTTACTTGAATATTTATGGTAAGGTACAAGTATAACGTAATATATTTCCAAAGTAACGTGGTTCTTGCAAAGGGTAAAGCTAATTTGCCTAATATTACCGATTTACTTAGTCAACACTGGTAAGAAGTTTTGTAAAATTATTTTTATAGCATTTATAGCATTTTGTAACCAGACCCTGATTTGTAATATTGTTTAAAATACAGCACCGCAATTAGGACTCAATTATGTTATTGAATTTTCCAAGCATGGAATATCGGTTATCGATGTAGTGAGAGGGTGGTACCTGGAAGTGGTGCGCGAGGTCGTGGTGCGCGAGGGGCGGATGGCGCGCGCAGGGCGGCGCGGGGCAGTGGTAGCGGCGCGCGGCGCAGGAGGCCTCGTGGGGCGCGCGGCGGCGCAGGCGCACCTCGCGGCCGCAGCCGTGGCGGCAGGGGTAGCGCAGCATGTCGGCGACGCCCTCCATGGCGCGGTTGCGCACGGACGAGAAGGCCGTGCGGCACACCGGGCACGACGCCAGGCGCGCGCGGCACCGCCCGCACACCAGGTGCCCGCGCCGGCACTGCGACATCGGCGGCTCCATCCACTCCAGGCACACCGGGCACTCCAGCAGACGCAGCAGGCTCTGCCACACACACACACATAGTACATTCAGTCATCAAAGTATCGGGAATAAATGATTTTTTTATGGTTCCAAATTCGAATTTTTTTTTCGAGTCAAAGTCGATCAAAAGTCAAAGTCATGTTGACTGTTTTCTTTGACTACCGCGGTGTTGTGCACTCAGAATTCTTGCCCGAAGGTCAAACGGTAAATAAAGAATATTATTTGAGCGTTATGCGGCGTTTAAGAGAACAAATTCGACGAAAAAGGCCAGAAATGTGGAAAGAAAATTCTTGGATTTTGCATCACGATAATGCGCCTTCGCACAAGGCCATCATTGTAAACGATTTTTGTCCAAACACTCAACAAACACCATCGAGCAGCCACCATATTCACCAGATATGGCTCCAGCCGACTTCTTTCTTTTTCCCACACTCAAATTACCCCTTCGTGGCACCCGTTTTCAATCGTTAGAAGACATAAAGGAGAATTCGCGGCGAGCACTGAACTCAATTCCGGAAACAGCGTTTAAAAAAAGTTTCGATGATTGGATTATTCGTTGGCGTAAGTGTATCGTTTCTGAAGGAGCATACTTTGAAGCTGATAAAACAAATTTAGATGAATAACAAACATTTTGTGTATTATTGACTTTTTCCCGGTACTTTCTTGACAGAGTAGTATATCATAACGTTTCCACGACGATATAGCAACATACCTAGCCTTTCATTTCGAAAAACAAAAAAACTTGGTTGTCTATAAACATATCTCGTCAAAACAATTACGGAAGTAAGCCAAAAACATAATAATTAATTTAGTATGTCTCACGAAAGTTATAATGAGAAACCGATCAGCCGATTGCTCGAGTGGATCATGCCTCTCTCGTTCGCGCCGCGTTCTCTCAAAATATCGGAAATTTTGTGGGTCGACAAATCTATGGATAAAGTTATTTTTCTATATTTTATTGTATTAAAACGTCAAATTAATTTATTTTTGACCTAGAAAACAAACCAATTAATAATCTTATATATAAAAATGGATCGCAAAATGTGTTGGTAAGCGCATAACTCAACAACGCCTGGACCAATTTTGCTAATTCTTTTTTTGTTGTGTTTGTTATTGTCAGGAGAATGTTCTTATCAAAGAAAATATTAGAAAAGTAGAGTGGAAGATTAGGAAAAAGTGAGCCTTTGATAGCGAGATAGTTGGACACGGAATAGAAAATACAGTGGAAGTGCAGCTCAGACATCGCGCGCTAGTCAACATGATGTGTAGATTCACAACATTTAGGCACATTCGTTGTCAGAATCGTTCGCTCCGTTGTCATGATTGGTTGTCATGGTTGTCTCTAAGAAACACGAAATATATTAGAAATTATGCCTTGTTGTGCGGTTTTCAACTGCAAAAAAGTAAGCAGAAAAAATATGTGTCTTGTGGTGGTGTATCGTATCATCGTTGAGTATTAACCTTTGTTAATTTTAAATATATTTGATTTTAATAAAAAAAAATTCATTACTTCAATGCAAACTATAAAGGACCTTATTTTTATTACAATTAAGTTTAAATCTACTTGTTCGTTATGTGGCGTTATATACTTACAATACATTCCAGTAGTTTCGACGCTACTCATTTAAGGATGGGACACATTCGTAAATTAGATTCGTATCGATAATTTTTCATCATCATCGTTCAGAAAATTGATTTTTGTCAATTTTTGTGTATAATTCATAAATGTTTAACTAAGATTGCATAGACACATCAACGTTTTAACCACACACAGCGTGCATCCGTCTGTAGAAGGTGCGGGTGGTTAATCACCATTTTTATTTTATAATGTTGTACATGATTTTTAACAGAGTTCCAAAAAGGAGAGTGACTCTCAATTAGACCGTACATGTTTTTTTTGTTCGTTCGTCTCCGTTATTTATGAAACAATTTTAATAATTCTGTTTTTGTTGGAAAGGAGATTAAACTTGTAGGAGCGCGTAGTGCTTTTATATGTTAAAATCGAAATCTTTAATAATAACTTGACCATCTCCAAAAAACATTAAATCTTCAAAAAATATGTTAATATTTTTCTTTTTTTCTATTAGAACCTTTTTCATTACTGATCATTTGTAGGTATATCGTGTCGATAAATTATATTGCTCACACGAATACAAAAACATCGATATATTGGGATACCCTGCCCTATCTGAGTAGCAAAATAGTAATGTCTATTGGTACAAGTGCATACAAATATGACATCTATTTCAAAGAGGTTAGCACTTTGAATAGAATGAATTTGTTACAGCGCCATCTAGCATTGAATGGCTGAACCCGTTTGTAAATAGTTTTATTTAAGTTTTTTATACGATAGACGCCTTTATTGATTGTGACATGTGAAATGATAACAACTTTCGCTCATTGTTATAAGACTCAATTTTTAACAACATTTAGAAGATGATTTGCTAAAGTTGCGTTTCAACTTTTTACCCAATTATATAGCTGTTTTTTATTTATGTGTGTAATGGACGATTTGATTTGCGAATGTGTGACTTTGGCGACACTGGTTTTCCTTTTGAAAGAGTGTAGGGGCACTTCTACTTTATTTTCTGTTCTGTGGTTGGACCCGTGCGAAACGGGGGCGGGCGGCTAGTTATTAAAAAAAACTTCTTCACTGTTTAATTCATAAACAAAAGATACTCACTTGATTAAACTCCTGCACAGAATAAGGCTCTGCATTTTCATCATCTGAAAGAAAAAAAAACATTATTGCTTTATTTCTGACCAGCTGACCGGCACACTCCAAAAAATGCTTACTCAAAACATCAAATGACTAATGTAACCTATCCTGAATTTCCATGAATATTTCAAGACCAAAATTAGCCGAAGTCAACTATTCCCGATTTTTAGCCATAGTATTAAAAGTTAGTAAATCTGCCATATTGATTAATCTTTTGGTGAAAGCAATTTATGGTATTTTACGCATCACTTGCTCAATCTTTTGTAATTTTTGCAGTTTTATTTATTTATTTCCAACTTACCATCCCTCTTCCTCTTAACTCCTTGGAACAGAGACTGTGATTGTGCTGGCACAGCGTTCTCATCAGAGTTTGTGGCCACCTGGGAAGAAGACAATAGAGAGAATGTGTCAACGTGGCCATATGAATTATAAGATTCTTGCATATTTTGCAATTCGGAAGCCAGTCAATGGAAATAAAACATTTGCATATTTACGTTAATGATATATGTATTTGTAATACCGCATTTTCCACTAATAATATTCAATACTTTTAATGAAAAATGTCAAAAACGATACTCTTCAATGTTTTTTTTTTTTTTGAAATCACAACATAGAATATAACTCCTGAAACTTTGCTTTTAAAACTCAGAATACAGAACAAACCAGAAGGCGTCATCGCGCTTCAAACTGAAGCAACTAAAACCATTCTTAACTAGAGTAGTATGAAATTTCTACGATAAGTCAATTTTGGCACGTGGCATGTCGTGACGTATTTTCGAGTATCAATTTTAATTTCATTATTGTGTTATTACGAGTAAAAATGCGGCTGGAATTACGAAAAAAGTGGATAAGATTACATTTCATCTTCAAGCATCGACTGCAATAGTATATTTAATTAATTATTGAATTTTTTTTATCGATTTATTTTTCTATGAAAATGATGCGGCCATTTTGTGAGTGTTGTCATTTTTGGTGAAATTTTACCACTTATTTATTTGTTGTGGGTTATATTTTTGTCCATTATGGAGCCTATGTCATATTAGATTCCCTGACGACTAACAAAAAATAAAATAAAAACATTCAAATGGCACGGTTAGATTAATTTTGGAAACCATCTAGCCAGAGCACAGTTTGCTCAATTCACTTTAAAGAGATATATTTATGACAAAGGTGGTTTGAAAACAGCATATCCTACTAAGATATATCTATACTAATTATAATGCTGAAGAGTTTGTTTGTTTGTTTGCTTGAATGCGCTAATCTCCGGAACTAAGTAAAGTAAGTAGACTTCTAATCTTTAGTTCCGAGTCTGAAGACAATACATATTTAAAAAAACTAAACCAGCAAAAGGGAACGCAATAAAACCTTTGTACTTATTATAGCTTTTATTTATTTGTTGTGTTTAGTAGGTGTGACTAAAATTAACACAGTCAGAAATCATCAACTTTTATCATACCTCTATGAAATGTGTGAACAACTAGTCTGTTGCATTTATCGTAAGTTTACCTATTTTGTTGGGTTTACCCATATCTTACCCTCCTGTTGTAAAATTACCCCAAACCAAGGGAATTGTTCCACTGTCGGTAACACTACGCGGGTGGGAAGTGCGGCTGGCGGGGGGATTGACGTATTGGTTTTGGACACATTTGACGACATGTAATTATGAGTGAACGCGGATTCTGGTTTGTTCTGTATTCTGAGTGTTAAAATTATAAATTTATAGTATGTCACCACATCAATGAACAAAAATATGAAATAATTAATTGTATTGAAAGGTTGATATAGGAAACTACTAACATAACTCTGTAATTAAAAGAATGTTATTGTTTGTATCCTGTTTTGTGTGCCTAATAAAATAAATAAATAAAGTATATGTCAAGTATTTACAAACGGATTAATAGATACGTCTTTATTTCGCATCTATTAAGGAAAGGGTCTCCCAACCAGTCAGCGCAATTCACAATGTGCGCAAAATAGATCGCGATATAAGTTATTTATTTTTATGTTTTAAGAATTTTGTTCTGAATTAGTTTTTCAGCCTGGTTTTAATCCTGAAGGTGTTGTCGAGAGAAGACTTACAGCATTATTGTCGTCGGTAGCACGTGCCTCGGCGGAGTCAGTTTCAAGGTCTGTAGGAGGCACCACCTCAGGCTCGTCCGGGGCATCTACCTCCACGATTTCCTCCTCCAGAGATATGGCGCCGGTTGTGTCGTGCACTGGGGCTGAAGGACACATTTAATCATTATATCTGAAGGGAGACACACTAGTTCTCGTTTGAGGGTATCAATCTACAATAATATTATAAAGAGGTAAAATTTTTAAGTGTGTTTATAAGTTTGTATGTAGGGGGTAATCTTTGGAACCGCTGCTCGGAGCCTCGGATTGCCAAAAATCTTTCACTGATAGATAGCTACAATGTTCCTGAGTGCTATAGGCTATAAATAAACCATCACGCTACGATCAAATGGAGCTGAGCACTTACACTCACAAGCATGTGGGAAGACATTGAATTACGTAAATTAAATAAAATGTTTTGAAAGATTTTTGTAGAAATTTTACCTTCAACATTCTCTTCATCGACGTTATTCTCATTTTCATCAGGTTGTTCTGCAACTGCTGGTGGTTCTTGGACAGCTTCTACCTCTATATGATAAAAAATACATTTATTAATGGGCTGATAAGGAAGTAAATTATTAATGAATGTGCCTTATTAATGTATTTCAACATTAAATCACCCGACGCTGTAATGCTAGTTTGCGTATCACAACGCAAGAAACATAGCTGTTTTAAGGGTAGAATTATATGTGGTATAAATTATTTTTTTAATTACCTAAATATACAAAACGTATTCTATTCTTTTCAAGTTTATATAATTTGGCGGAAAGGTTATGCTGGACACGTTACCTTCATCAGATTGATCAACATTGACGAAGTGGTGTTGTTCAGGCACGGGCGGGCCGGTGTCGGCGGGCGGGACGCTGGCGCGCGACGCCGCGCCCAGCGCCCGGTAGCGGGACAGGCATGGCTGCGGGTCCACACCCAACACTTCGGAAGAATTACCGGCTGAACATCGAAACGACGGGTATAAATTATTTGCTAGTAAATCTATTGTAAGTAGTTCATTTGATATGACAGAATACTTGAAATATTAGTTGTCAAAAATTGTGCCATAAATTGGTGAAAGTGAGGCCCATGCCCAAATCCTCAATCCTTAAATCCCTAATCCCAAGTAATGACTTGAATTTGTGATTCCCCCAAGTTGCGATCTACCTGCGCGATGATGCGAAAAATAATGAGTTTTTCATAAAACATGAAATTGGATATGAATATGCATGCAAAGCGCTAAAGATAGAGCTCAATGGCGTGTTTTTGGTGAAGGAAAGGAAATGATAAAAAAATTTAACAAGTAGAAACTTATATAGGAACAAATTGTTTGAAATCTTAATTATCATGTACAAACCATTTCTGTTGATGGACAAGGAGCTGCGTCCCGATTGCGAGCGAGTGCAACAATTGTTGTAAGTTCTGGACCTGTTCGACGTATCTGCTGACAGCGACGGAGTAAACAACGGGCTACGGGACGGACCGCCGCTGCTACCCAAACCTATAAACAAATAATTGTATTGGTAATGTTTCCATTACATTTCTACAAAATATTTTAATTACACAACTGTTTATTTATAAATATTTAAGATATAAGGCTCGATTGGACAGACAGAGATGTGTATGTGTATGCAGAGACATGTAGTGCACGTACCACTAAGTTTCAATATTAGAATTGTCGAAATTCGGAAACATATAAGGCTTACTGAAATAATAAACTAACATTACTGAAATTGTGTCGCTAAAAATGTTCACAATGCTCAAAAGAATGTATACTAATATAGTATAGAGCTGAAGAGTTTATATTCCAAAAATACAGGTTCATTGAATAAAATCTTATTATGTTAGATAGGCTGCTTACCGAGGAAGGCAACTTTACGTTCTGACCAATAGGGATCGAGCAATAGGTGAAGCTACTTAGGAGTAGCTTGTTACATAGTATATTGTCTCTCTTTTAGTATGATGTGTAGGTGAATTTGGACTTTTGCCTTAACGAAAGTTCATAATTGGTTCACAAAAAACAACTTAGTACTTAATGATAAAAAGACGAAATGCATTAGATTTATTTTGCCAAATGTTAAAAGTAACGTATGCGATGATATATTATTAAATGGTCAGAAACTGGAATTTGTAAAGGAGACCACATTCTTGGGGATTACTGTAGACGACAAGCTGCAATGGGGGCCCCACATTAGATCTCTAGCAGGGCGGTTGAGCTCGGCAGCTTATGCTGTCTGGAAGATCCGTCAGCTAACCGACGTAGGCACGGCACGACTAGTGTAGTTTAGCTACTTTCACAGCATCATGTCGTATGGAATTCTGTTGTGGGGACAGGCATCCGACGTTGAGTCTATCTTTATCTTACAAAAGCGTGCAGTCAGAGCTATCTATAACTTAGGTCGTCGCGAATCTCTCAGAGAAAAGTTTAAGGAGATCAACATTATGACCGTACCATGTCAATATATTTATGAAAACATTATGTATGTTAGGAAAAACCTACAGCTATTTGTAAAAGTATCTGACAAGCATGACTATCCTACTAGACATAGAAATAGATTAAGTCAGCCTTTATTTAGATTAGCAAAAGTGCATAAGTCGTTCATGGGATTATGTGTTAAATGTTATAATAAAATCCCAACTGAAATACAAAATCTTAATGAAAGTAAATTTAAATTATGTATAAAGAAAGTATTATGTAGGAAAGCATACTACAAACTAAATGATTATATAGAAGATAAAAATGCTTGGAGGGTGGCTGGTTTGACTGCACAGGATAAAAATTGTTAAGGTTAAGAGGAATTTTGATCTCAATTATTAAATTATTCACCATGTTGTTGATTGTTGATAAACTGGATTTTTGTAAATGTGAGAGCCCTGTAACTTATTATAATTGAGTTAGACTTATAGACTTATAGTATATTGGTACTTGTGTCAGTTGGGAGTTGTCATGCTCACTCAGGAGTCTCATTGGCGGTGGCACGGGCACTGGACCGCTCGGTTCCCTATAATATGGTTGAGTTGGGCGGTGACACGTACACCAGCACCGCCCAACTCAACCATGTTCGTGAACGGACGCTGCCTATTGGGACTGGTCAACTCGAGACTGTCTAAAGTTGCTGTCCCTGAGGGTTATTTCTTTTTCGGATACTTTGGTTAAACACTAGTGTTACACTGTTCTCACATAATGGAGCTATCTAAATTATGTAACAATGTATTGTAAAAAGTGATTGAAAAAGAGTAACCATGGAGTTTCTTGCTCGTTCTTCTCCATAGGAATCTACACTTTGGAACGAGCAAATAGCTTCACTAGAGGACAGACGGACAGACTGACACATAAAGTTAAACCTTATGATATCTTTTTTGCTTGACGTTCAAAAGTGCCTTTTTTGGTCTATTTGAAATAAAGAATTTGATTTGATTTGATTTGATTTGTAAACAAGCTATTGAGTTTCGTAACAAAACATATAAATAATGTTAAAGTAATGTAAGAGATCTACTGACGTCGTGAAGTTGTTGGATGTATGCTTGAGCCGTGCTTGTAGTGCGTGAAGTCGTGGAGGCTACGAGTTAGTTTCTTGAAGGCCAGTATGCGCTGGATATCCGAGGAAGTTGTAGTGCGCTCGGCTCGCCGCGACTCCCGCAACTCGGAGCGCGACGGGACTGACGGACGGGCGTACGTCACAGGCATGTCACACGCTAACCTGGGACTATATCAACGATACTTGTAGTTAGTTAATTGCGTTATGTTATGGTTATGATAAATATATAATTATGTATGTTTTTATTTTTTAAAGAAATCATAAATTAAATATCTTCTTATAATTAGTTTCCTCAATCAAAAATAAATTATTTCAACTTTTCAAAGCAGTAAAAATACTTACAAACTTACTAAAAGTAATCACAGAGATATTCATTAAAATAGTTATGACGGCGCAACTTGCTATTTCATAAAATAGTATTATTTTAGTTTTCGTGAGATACAATTTACAAAAAGAAATAAAATTACCGAGCGGCGCCAGCATTTGAAGGTCTGGGCGTGTTGTTGATGATAGACCAGAACAGGGCATGGTCTAGTTTAGCTTGTTGCTTCCGCGCTGTTGCAGGTGAGTGAGGCGCTTGTTGTGTAACTAGTAGTAAAGAAAAAAGAAGTGAAAATCATGTCAACAACATAGGTAAGCAGACATATAAATATACATAAATGCCACAATTACAAGCCTGTCTTTCAAACTACATAAATACAGAGCACATTGGAGTAATGAACAACTAAATACCCACCAGTTCTTGGATGAGGCTGACTGCCAGTCTGGTCTGTCCACCATGCATCATCTATAGACGATACACCAAATAACTGATGAACACAATTCATCAATTTTTTACAAAGAAACTTTTATAATTGATTATAATATCACTAAAATCAACACTGCATTAAATAAATTCAATGCATAAATATAAACATTTTTATAAATGCTGAAATGGGTGTTTTGTTATGTTTAATATCAGCTCTTATTTACACATTACACTTTAACCTTGCTATCATGGTAATATAAGACACAATAGTAAGACAATAGGTGCGCGAACACCAGCATACCCTGTGGGTTTGATGAGTTAACCTATAAATAAATTATTTAGTTTTTAAAAAGAGACCCCTGTAGCTGGATTCTACCAATGAAAATTTTGTTACATAAGTAAAATAATAATAGATAAACTTACTTAGGTACTCACCTAAGAAGCAACAGACATATTTGAAAATACTACATATTTAAATATTGTGGCCATCCCTTTTTTAAATCATCACTAACGTCTCATTTATGGAGACGCGGCGCGTCGAGCGTTAATCGTAAATTGCAGCAGCAGGTAGTGTTTGTGCCTCGAAAACAGAGGAACATGTATCACGAACCACACAACGCACTTTACACAACACGCCACATCTCCATAAGATTAAATATAATATAGGCAAATGAAACAAAAACATTCATAAAGTATGCGTAAGTTCATAAAAGTGCAAATTTTAAAAAGTTGCAAGAACACCAATTTCTGCTTTCCTACTTAAGGAGCTTTATGTCAAATACAGTCCTACACAAAGGTACCCTACAATTAATAAGAATAAATTAACAACAAAGAATTCAGTGTTATAATACCTTTCACAAAAAATGTAGATTTAAATTCAATCATTAATATAATATTAGGTACAGTGGACAGCAGGACAACCTACACCAATGTCACAGATTTTTCATAGGATTTGTAACTTTTAATTAAAACAACAAGACATGTGACACAAAGGAGTAGGTTGACCCACTGTTGCATGTACAAGACAAAATTTTAGCAGATAAAACAGGTAATTACCATTTCCACTGCTAGTGCCAGGCATGTCAGCCACACTGGGCCGAGGTTCATCTGATTGTCTCCGCAACACTTGCAGAGATTGTGATGGAGTATCTTCATCATCTAGAAACCATTCCATAATAAAAATTATTGTGTACTATTTCAATGTCAGAACTTCGAACACTAGTAATTAAGTAAATTATAAAATAATAATTATTATACCCAGTTAATGATTGATACTTTCAATTTAATCACCATTTCATCAATAGGAAAAAGAAATAAAATACCTACTTATGGCTCTTATCAATGTTTTGTTTAAGAAGTAAATGTGCGTACCACAACGCAGTTTACAATAACATTGTCATGGTCATTATTTTTTAACAGTTATTTTATTATGATTGGAGTGTAATAACAACATGATATTACAGGCAGACAAATAATATATGACTGTAGAGAACTATTAAATGAACAAGAGTCTCTATAAGTCTTGGAATTGTATGGCGTGGTACATATTTATATTTATAGTACCTACTAGTACATAGATTTTATACAGTACCTGAACTCCACGGATATTCAGGTATTCCCAGCGATTTCTTCAGGTTTTCTTTTCTGCTACCCATTCTAAACTTTATATATTACAATAACATCAGCAAACATTTAGCAGCTAAGAGTAGTGTAAAGCACAAATATTTCCTTTCCTTACAAAATTAACACAAAATAAAACCTTTCACAATCAATGACAGCAATGAATGACATTAGCAAACAAGAGAGACAAAATGACAGTGACAGTATGAAAGTCTATGATCATCACAGATTGTGATGATCATGAAAATTCAGAAAAACCTACAATAAGGTACCATCAAAGAAAAAAAATCAACAATGAATTGAAATTAATAGGTTTGTGTTTTTATTTTCTGAAATTAACGATGATTTCTGTCTGAAGATCATTTTTCGAGAGGAGACCGATAGCTGGTAAATATTGAAAGAAAATGTGAAGATAAACAAACCTCGTCAATAAAAATTGTCGTTTGTTTGACAAATCAAAGATAAAAAGAGAAATGTTATCTGTGAAACAAATGTCAGTTCAGTTGGATTGTGAGCCGGTTTGTACTTGTCGGCCGTTGAAAATTTTCTTGAATTGAAAGTTTATGATACTTTGGATATTGATATTTATGTTAAACTATACCAATTGCAAATAAAATTAGTGTCTCACAATGACTGACTTACCCTACCAAGCGGAATATGCGAAAACCGGACGAGCAGCGTGTAAAGGATGTAAACAAAAGATTGATCAAGGCACCGTGCGTCTTGCCATCATGGTTCAGGTGAGTTTTGTTCGTGTAATTTATTGAATAAATTGTGCACTCAACTTCAAAAAACATTAGGCAAATAAAAGAAAAGGAAACTTGTCGATAGCTTTTGCAATAATTCAATCACAATTATAATGATTGACTAGCATTTAAAGGTTTTATTATACTTATTGCTTTCCATTTTGTATATGATATAAATATCACTAGTATGTACAGCAAAGTACTCATTCATATTTCCTTTTAAAATTTGATGGATCTGTTTTTTCTTTGTTAATTCTAAATCAATGTGTAATAACAAAAGTGCTCATCCTGAAAATGACAAACAATGAATTGCTCTTAGTAGAATATAAAATGCCAAATTAAATGAGTTATAATAACATCAAATGAGTTGTGAGATTAATACAAACCTTTACCTTACCTTTTCACCTTTGTGGTAAACACCAAAATATTATGTGCAATGAGAAAAATAATTCTAAAGAAATATTGGCATATTTACTGTAACTTGCATAAAGTGTTAAATAAATTAATGCCTACTATTACCAAAGATTTTTCAAGTTCTTACACAAGTCAATAATGTTCACAGTCAGCATTTTTTGATGGCAAGCAACCAAATTGGCATCATGAGGAGTGTTTCTTTAAGAAGCAAAGACCCACATCTGTAGCAGATATTGGCAACTTTAATAAACTCAAGAGTAGTGATCAGAAGAGAATCAAATCTATCATGGGTATGAATAAACATAATCAGTAACTAAATGTATTCAAAATATTAATTATGATGTTATTAACTTCTTCTTTTCACAATTGCTAACTTTAGTGCATTTTTTTCTTATACTTTTTATTGCAGAGAATTCTACTGGTATAGTTATGCCTACTGAAACTAAAGGGAAAGGAAAATCTAAAAAAAGAACAGTTGATGAATCTACCACATTAGCTCTTAAAGATTTCAAAATAGAGTATTCTAAGAGTAGCAGGGCTACTTGCAAACACTGTGAAATTAAAATATGTAAGGTTAGTAAAATGTTGCTTATTCATTTATGCTTATAAAAAGTAAAATGGTATTATACTTATTTCTATAAAAAGTAAAATGGAGGTCATCAGTACTACTCTTCCTGATTTAAATTTTATCCTTAACCTTCCTCAGATACATAAGCATCTACTGGTGAATACTTCATAGTGACAGACAAATGTTAGGGAATATTTTTAAATATGTTAGTAAGAATAGTACTGTTAACTGTAAGTATCTTGTTGCAGGATGAAGTTCGTGTTGCTAAAATTGTGTATGATACTGAAGTGGGTGCCAAGTATGGTGGGCAGCCATTGTGGCACCATGTCAAGTGTTTTGCAGAAGAGAGGAACGCCCTTCTCTACTTTGCGGGTGGGGAGAGCTTACCTGGTTTTAAAGACCTTTCAAAGGAGGACCAGGCTATGGTGAAAAAAGAGATTAAGTATGATTTCATTTGATATAATATCTTTGTTTTTATTAATGTTTATATTTAACAGCTATACATAATTGGAATGTTTGCAGACCACTAAAAAGTGATGAAGTTCCTGTTAAAAAATTAAAAGAAGAACCGAAGAGTGAAGAAGAATTAAAAGAAGAAAAGGCAAAAGAAAAGCAAATTGAAAAGCAAAATAAATTGTTCCATAAATACCGAAGTGCTCTGAGTGACCTAACAAAACAAGATTTGGAGGAGTTACTTGAAGCAAACTCGCAAGAAATACTTACTGGGAAGGATGAGGTTTGTTATTAAAATTATGTTAAATGTGAAAACATACATATTTCACCAAAATCAACTAACATAACACAGATACCATGTTTATTTACTACTTTTATAATTTTTCTTATATGGGATAAGGTTAACGCGCAGATCAGCTGATGGTAAACAATAGGTGACCCCCCCCATGGACAACTCCAACGCGAGAGGAGCGAGAACATTTAGAAGCAGTCCATTTATGCTTGGCGGGAATGGTGATGGGGTGAAAATGTTACGAATCCTTTTGATTGAACTGGCCGGGTGATTCTTCACATCAATTAAAAAAAATTTAATAATGTCATTATCCTCAACCGAAAATTAACGAGTCTGCTGATTAAAACACAGATAATTATTTTATTAAACTAAATCTCACCACTGCTTACAAGCAACCGATTAAAAATATTGTATAAAATAAATTACTAAGATGCTTAAAAACCTGGGAGGATAATGACTTGTTAAATAAAAGTTAAGGTTTTTTGGAGAATCACCCGGCCCATTAGTGCCGAAATATGGCTCTTCACATTAACATTATGAATTTGCACTACCCTTATGGGAATAAAGAGATCAGTATCTTATTTTGAAAACTTTAGGCATTGAGAACAAGAAATGTTTAAATGCTTTAAGAGAAACGACATAACATGGTTTTTCCAAAAGCCCCGACATTACTTGGCTGTTAAGGCAGCTGTAAGATTCCCGTGCGAATACCTCGCTAACGCTGACGCAACGCGCGGCGGCGTTTTTTGAGTCAACCGAAGTTGCAAAATTTATTGTAACGGACGTCCGTGAACGTCACTGCTTGCTTACCATCAGGCGGTGATCAGTTAACCTCCACATCCTATTAAAAAATACTACTTATATCGTAATGTTTTCCAGTGTCTAGATCATCTTGCTGACTGCATGGCGTTTGGAGCACTGCTACCTTGCGTGGAGTGCAAACAGGGTCAATTGGTCCTAGACACATATGGTTACAAATGCAGAGGTAACTCATTTTAATTAACACCGTTGTTTATTTCGTGTCGCGGTGTAGCATACCTAAAACCACCTTGTTCTCACAAGAAGATATCAAGACCTTACAGAACACTGGCGTAGAACAACCGCAGCGGTTTGTTTTGTCGTTTCAAAGAGGTAACCGAAGGTCCGATCAAGCCCAGCCAAACCTATAGGCAAAATACGCATCCCATAATATTATATTTTTAAGTGATAGGTCAGAAAACGAGCTGACGGATACCTGATGATAAGCAATCGGCGCCGCCCATGGACACTCGTAATACCAGAGGAGATACGGATTTGGGAAGTATCAGAGGAGGAAACAGAACGATTGTTTCACGCCGGTTTTCTGTGAGGTCTTTGTCGTATCATTCCGGTCGTGCCAAAGCTTGGCTCTCCTACACGTACCTATCAAATCTGCAAGCCGGATATTAAAAGTAATTTTAGGCAGCTACCGTATTTTTTACTCGTCGACCCGTAGCTTATTAACCAGTCACAACTTTAACCAATCGACCAACGATGCAGCCATTTTGTAGATACAGATTGATAAATAATGTATCATGCAGTATTTTTATAATTTCATAAATTTCTACTTAATCGGTTATAGCGTTTGTAATCAATACGATTTCCGTTTCAGTTAATCTTATATTATTTTTTAGTAATCTTGGTAGGTATGTACGTAATAAACGGGGAATCACAATACTGTTATTATTAAATGTTTTTATATAATACATATAACTAGTACGATATGTCTCTTGCCAGTTTATCGAACAAAACATGTATAATTGATGATTTTATGCTTCGCCTTAAATTAATAAGCTGTCGGTTAGGCTAATAATATTTTAAAGTCTTGTAATATAGCGAAATAGGCAGGCACTCTAGCATCTTCTGTTTAAAAATAGTTCATAGTAGTACTGTACGTGTACATACAAAAATGTACTTTAAATATGATGGTATTTTCATTAATTTTGATGTATTTATGGATGACGATCAACACTACAGAAGCACAAACCGTTTCATTCGCAGGTAACATCACTGAATGGACGAAATGTTCATACGTAACTCAGGATCCAAAGAGGATCCCCATGATAGTTCCAAAAGAGTTCGCCAGTGGCAGTATCTTCAAGAAATACAAGCCTAAAACAGATATCAGACTTTTTGAAACTGCAATAAGACCTCAGATTATAGTTAAAGAAGAAGCTGTTGTTGCGTAAGGCTAACAGATTATTTTAAACAAATGAATGAACATTTTTATCTATCCATGAAATATACATATATTTTACAATACACCCGAATTGAAACTGGCGAAATTTCAAATTTAATTTGTACGTTTTCTTATACAGGGTGAAAAAAGACATTCCAATTCCACCATTAAAGAACCTACAATTCTTTTTGTATGGAAAATTAAAGGATAAGGAAGAAACTAAGAAACGTATCTTGAAATTAGGCGGGCTTGTCGTCAGTAAGCTCACGGATACTACTGTAGCTGTGGTATCCACCAAGAAAGAAGTAGAAAAGATGCCCGATAAAATGGAAGAAATAAAATCTAAAGACATTGAGGTGAAGACTTGTTTACTTACCCTACTTTGAACAACACTACAACAAAGAAGGATCTAAATCAATTGTTTGCCATTCTTGCAGGTTGTCGAAGAATCATATCTTGATTTGATTGAGCCAAATGGCACTGTTTCTAAATCATTGGAACTGATCAAAGAGAATAATATCGCTGAATGGGGATCTGACGTAAGTTTAAAATTGGATTAGTTTGTGTACACCTACTTCATGAAATAATGTTCTAGTAATTAGGGTATTTTATGTTTACAGCCAGCTTCAAGACTACCTCAAGATGTTTTAGATGGAAAGTCTATTCCTAAATCAGGAAGCATGTACGTTAAATCGTCTAAGTCAGCTGTCAAGTTGAAGATTCAGGGTATGCATAATATCAATAAAACTTATATTCTGGCCTACTAAAATCTTATAATTCTGTCATTTAGTTTAAAAAAAATGAATTTTACCTAAAGAAATAACCAAAATAGGTTCTTTTAGATCGTGTAGTTTAGTTTGCCTCTTGCTTCACCATTTTATTGATATGAAAATTCAGTTCTTTGTCTATACAAACCTAACTATTAATTTTTAAAGAATATGATCTAATACTATGTTAAACTAGAAAATCAAATCCTACATTTTAAGACTGTTACTTGTTTGCATATTCTGTTATATCTGAATGATACAACGTCTATTATTAATTCGTAGGTGGTACAGCGGTGGATCCAGCATCTAAGTTAGAAGACGAAGCTCATGTCTATCAGGACCATCAAGGCACCAAATACACCGTGGTTTTGTCCCAGACTGACGTTGTGGCGCAAAAGAACTCTTATTACAAGTTGCAAGTATTGGAATCTGACAATAAAAAAAAGTATGTTTATTTTATTAAAAAACATTACTTTCCTATTTTATTTTATATTAAATAATGTACTTAAAACTCTTCTGTTACTGAGCGACTGATTAACAGCAAGCTAATACGTTTTACAACTGTAGATAATATGACATAATTATATAACATTGTTGGCTTTGTCAGGTACTGGTTATTCCGTTCCTGGGGTCGCATCGGCACGACCATCGGTGGTAGTAAAGTAGAGAGCTTCAGATCAGCTACAGAAGCAGTGCTCAAGTTTGAAGAACACTATACAGAGAAAACAGAGAACCTCTGGGAACTCAGAAATCATTTCGTGAAGGTAATATTACTGTTATTTTTTATGTACGTGTGTACTGTGAAGTTTATTTTATCGTATGAACCTAGATGAAAATACGAAATCGTTAATGACTGTCCAATATGAACGAATGCAAGAACAGACTAGCAATATAGCTGTAAGTAAATAATATATACAAATTAAGAAGTAACTGCAAATTAAGAAGTCTCTTTCTGTTCCTTATTTGTGTTTAAAATTTACTAGGTGCCTGGGCGATACTTCCCATTAGATATGGATTACGGGGCTGAAGATACCACAGCGTCTAAGGAACTAGTGATTGACGAAAACTGTGGTTTACCTAAGGCAGTACAACATCTTATTATCAAAATATTTGACGTCCAAGGAATGAAGAAGACACTGCTGGAATTTGAGGTAATATAGGGTAAAAGTTATAGGTAACTTATTATTAAACAAGTATTGGAAACATTACACTTTTGTCTAACATGCTTTCCGAGCAGCAGTAATATGATGAAGATGATATGCTAAGATCTATATACAACTAGCTCTTACCCGCGGCGTCGCTCCCGTCATTTGAGTACCTACCCTACTCTAGCTAACCTACACTACCTACTCTATCCTATCCTATGTCCTTCTCCTGGCTCTCAACTACCTCCCTGCCAATTTTTAGCTTGATTGGTTCAGCCCTTCTTGAGTTATAAGCGGTGTAACTAACACGACTTTCTTTTATATATATAGATTTGAACTTGAAGATGTATTCTTTATTAAACTTGTACTGTTATATTAAATGTTTATTTCAGCTTGACACAGAAAAGATGCCGCTGGGAAAACTATCCAAGAAACAAATCAAGTCAGGATACAAAATTCTGTCTGAACTTATGAATATCATTGAAAGTGGATCTACTAACCAAAGTAAAGTGATCGATGCGACCAACAGGTACTATTTACTCTGTTAAATATTTCTTTTTACTTTATTCATCCTTTGTTGTGAGTAAACAAGAAATCAGGCGGGTAGTGTATGTGACCTTTGCATTCTAGATTCTTTACATTGATCCCGCACGACTTCGGAATGAAGAATGCCCCATTGCTGGATAATATGGAACTGATCAAAACTAAAACAGCAATGTTGGACAACTTGCTCGAGATAGAAATAGCCTACAGTTTGTTAACGTCAGGTATGATCATTGAGTATCCTATTATATAAAAAAGTTTATGTTTGTAAGTCTAGATAGATGGTTGTATATTTGTTACTATTTCACATAAAACTATGGAATGACTTAAAATGAAATTGGGCATCGAAATAGGGTAATTATATACTAGTACTGCAGGGGAAGCAACTGGCCTAATCATTGTTTTACAAAGGTAGCAAATAGGCTAGTACAATAATGCAATATTTAAATAATATAGGATACTAATGTATCGGTAGATTACACATAGCAGCTATTCAGACCTCGTAAAACAGGCCTTTAATGTGGAAGTAATGTAATATTTATAACAAATTAAATAATCTATACTAATATTATAAAGAGGTAAAATTTGAAGTTTGTAAGTTTGTATGTAGGGGTTAATCTTTTAAACCGCTGGTCGAATTCCCAAAATGTTTTCACTCACAGATAGCTAAGATGTTCCTGAGTAATATAGGCTATAAAACATTACACTACGCTTACATTTAGCCAAGCAGCGGGTGTGTGTAGTTAACAATAATATTATAGATAATATAAAAAAGAATTTAGTATTATTTTGGAAATGATTTTAATATTTTTTTTAAATGAATGCCGAGTGTATTATAGTATTATAATACATTAAAACAAATTCTGATTGAGTTACAATCATTTGTGGTTTATACTTACACGAAATCCTTGTCTTCAGATTCAAAGGAACAAAATCCCATACCGGCTCACTATTTGAAATTGAAAGCTGAAATTACACCGCTACACACTGGCTCACCTGAATTCGAATTGATTAAGGAATATTTAACCAACACGCATGCCCAAACACATTCCAATTACTCTTTGGAGATAGAAGAGGTAATATATTATTTATTTGTTTCTTTATGTACCTCTTGATAGGAATAAAATCCTACTAAGAGGGCGGGCAGCATTAACCCTCAGCCATTTTAACGCGTGCCCCTCTCTAGGTCGTCGCTGCCAGAGAGAAAACCGTTACGGCCGCTTTTGTACTGCAAAGCCGATTAGCTGATTTCTTAAATTGATGTCTGTTCATTAATATTATTGTTTTCATCAGTATGCATATGTGAGCGCCATGTTCGAGACGATAAAGAATTTAAAATTAATTGATAGTTCCCACAATTTGTTCTTTTTTTAACTTAATTATGAATGAATGAAACTTTAAAATTTTATTTAGTAAGGAAGTAATTTCTTGCTCGTCCTTCTCCATTCAAATCTAATACTATTTGGAACGAGCATCTAGTTTCACTGAAGAACAGACTGACAGACTACTTTTCAATTTGACTCCTCAAAAGTACCTATTTATGGTTTATTTGTATTAAATTATTATATTTATAATTTTCTGATAAATCTTAATTTGAGCTACTCAGATATTCGTATCGTACATTGACATTCACAATATATACTGAAACTGTTCATTATTCAGGTATTCAAAGTGATTCGTGAAGGAGAAGACAAACGCTATAAACCTTTCAAGAAACTCCACAATCGTCGCCTGCTATGGCACGGCTCACGCATGACTAACTTCGCGGGAATTATTTCTCAAGGTAAAGTTTATTTAATTTGCATAGTATTTATGTGTGTGTTTTTTTTTTATTTGCCTTCACTAGGGTTTTCTCCTGTGTCATGAGTGTATTTACAAACACAAATTCACAAACACAAGCGACCCAGACCCGAAACAACAATTTGAGTATCACACAAGGTGTTGTTTCGTGCGAGAACTGAACCTGCGACACGTTGCACAACAGCCAGTGGCCTAGCCACTGCGCCAACCGTGCAGTCATTCTAGTCACCTACGCTGTTTTACTTCCTAACAAACGAATGACAACAATAAGTACTCTAAGACATCTTTTGACATGTTATTTGTTGTCCTTTGTCTAGGTAATGTATAAATTTTTCCAAATTTTAAAGTACCATATTAAATGTAAAATGTTTTTCAATGCAGGTCTCCGCATAGCGCCACCCGAGGCCCCAGTCACTGGCTACATGTTCGGTAAAGGAGTGTACTTTGCGGATATGGTGTCGAAGTCAGCTAACTACTGTTGTACCAATGTTAATAATCCCACTGGTCTCCTGCTTCTGTGTGAAGTCGCACTAGGAAACATGTACGTTATTTCTGAATTTTATTTATGACATAGGAAAATTTTGCCTATAGCAGCTGTTTTTTTTTTTTGTTTAGCTGTACAAATTTAAATTGTATAAGTAACAATGGGTGCTACCAAACGATGATATAACTAATCCGACCTTAATGATTACAGGAAGAAATGCTATAGATCTGAAAACGTACAACTGCCACCGAATATGCATTCTGCGTGGGGAGTGGGCTCCACGCATCCAGACCCTAGCCAGGACAGAGTGCTAGATGACGGTACCGTCGTACCACTCGGCAAGCCAATCAAAAATAATGAAGTTTGTTCCTTGCTGTACAACGAGTATCCTTTATTAATTACTAGCGTTTCGCCGGTGCCACCTGGTTGAATTATGACATCGTATGACTGTGCACTACACAAAGTTATCATACATTATTTATTTTAATCATCAACCACATTCTCAGCTTACAAAAACTAAACATAGCTGAGTCTGATAATGTCTAGCATTTCGCATAAAGAAAACCTTAACACATTTGAGAAAACAAATCTTTCTGCGAACATTAATCAGACATTATTATAACCGCATATTCAATTTCATTCACACCCAGGCGCTATTGAAACGTCAAAATGTCTGTTTTAAAAGTATTGTTCTCTTAAAGTTAGTAATATTTTCCTTAGCACACACTCAGATTCATCGTATACGATGTTGCACAAGTTAACGTGAAGTACTTACTGCAGGTGAACTTCAAATACAATTTCTAATGCTATTCAACCAGTTCTGGTTGTCTTATTTTTGTATCTTTCGGTCATTGCCGATTATGTAATACTAAAAATCTTGTATTTTTTTCTTCATTATCGCATTTAAGTGCCTATAAGCGAGCATTGTGATTTCTAGTTACCTCGTTTTATTAAAATCCAGCTTTAGTGACTCGAAGTCACCAAAATGTTATTACATTCTAATTACAGTTAAATAATGTTAACATATTTCCAAAGCGCCTTATCATATTTGAATTAATATGCTTTATTTGTTTGTATGATTATTAATTGTTTATGTTATAATAATTCGTGAATCCGATGTGATTATGTTTTTGTTTATTAATTGATTAAGTCATTAACGCTGTAGTGATAGCAATGTGAAATTATTTTCATGAAAATGTGTGTAATCTCTGAACGTAATTGTTATTTATTCAAACCACCCTACTCCTGTTCACGTTTCGCTTTCCTGTCGGAATAACTCAAAATGCAATAATTCACGTCAGTTTGCGTTAAGACAAACTGTACCCTTAGTATGAGTTTTGACAGCAAACGTTACGTCCTTTCGAAACGTTGATTTTCATTCATAAATTAGCAGCGCCCCTAGCGGAAACGAAAAGAAACTAAATTTGGCAGTACGAGTTGCACCAGCGTAAAATTTCTCGTAATCTTAAAAAGTTTTCGAGACATTTTGACAGTTCTCGCCAAATTGGCAGTACGAGTTACAATTTTGACAATTTTATGAAAGTAAAGCGATTCGTTCTCTCTCAAAGTTTACGTTTTACAACTCACCTAGTGGAACGTAGCGAATTGTTTTCGTGCGATTTTTAATTTTAATATTAAATGGCTGCGAGGAGTTATTTTGCCTGGAGGATGGTAGCAGAAGCTGCTGAAAATGATCGCCACGAAGAAGAGCGTCGAAACCTTCATTTGCGGCGAAAATTATTAAGTCCTCTCGAAATCTCGGACACCCACTTTATTCAGCGATACCGGCTGATTAAAGAGGCTTAAAAGTTTCTATGATTTAAGAAGTTATCAAAGAGTCTCATTAGAAACTAAGGTAAGTCAATTATATCATCTACATAAATAAAAAGGTAGTTAATGGCAATGGCAACAATGATTCATTAAAGACATTTTTAATTGGTTTTAGGTACTCTGCGCATTATTATTCTATGCCAACGGTGATTGATTACCAAAGGTTGGTTGGCATGGCTAATTGTTATTCGCAAGAAGCTATTAGCCGCTTTGTCCACCTAGTGACTGAAGCGCTCAACCACCCGAACATATTAAAAAACTTTGTGAAGTTCCCAGCGACGCGTGAAGCTAAAGAACAAGTCAAACATGGTAATTCGCAGTTTAAACTAACATCATATTCATGCTTTGAACACTTGCTAGGGGATAACTTGTTAATTAATAATGAATGTTTCTCTTTATAGTTTCTATAACATGTATGAAATGCCACACTTCAAAATTGTTAAGACGAAGATGGAGATTGACCACTTATTTTACTGCCGCAAGTATTATCATTCAATTAAATGTGCAAATGGTAATATACATTATAGAATTTAATAAATATAGTTTGAATAAAACAATCTACACAATCAAAAGGTTCATATTTATAATGTATACATAATGTGTCTTCTCTACCTTTAGGAGCACAAATCTTCAAGTAACTTTGCTTAATATTGTTTATAGAAAAGACATTATACTTTGTTGGAGTTCCTAATAGACTTTTAAATAAAATTAAAAAAGCCTTATAGTTTAAAGTAATGTCTATAAAATAAAAATGTTAATAAAGTGACGAAATAACATCATAAATAAATCATGATAATGATGATTTATTTTCTTTACACATAACACATTGTTTCTAGGTGTGCAATCACAGGGGCTAAATCATGAGTGTTAACCATAAGTATGTTGGTGCCAGCCATGATGCCTTTGTGTGGGATAGCAGTCTAGTTAACCAGTACATGCAGACATTGTACCAAAGTGAAGAGTCTGTATGGCTGCTAGGTAAGTTTCTACATGTAAATAAAATAGGTTAACTATGTAATATGCTCATATTATCTGCTACTAACTAACTGTTAACTATAACTAAAGGTCACAGACACTATTGTAATTCTAGACATTTATTTCAAATGCAAACTTGTTGTATCTGCAGGTGACTCTGGATACCCACAAAGACCGTGGCTGATGACTCCATACACTCAGCCAGACCCTGATTCTGCTGCAGACACATACAACAAGGTACACAGCAGTGAAAGAGTTATAATTGAGAACACCTTCAGACGCCTGAAGAATAGGTGGAGGTGTGTGTGCAAGAACAGAGTTTTGCACTACAAACCCGAAGTGTGCATTAATGATAGTGGCTTTCTGTGTGCTGCATAACTTTTAATGTACCTGAAGCGGTTATGGAACCCACAGGTACCTTATCAACATAATATCCCTTTATTTTCTTGTAAATCAATAAGTAGAATTTAAATGAAATCAATGTTTATAATTTCATTTTATGTATGATAATTTAAAGTCAATTTGTATAGGGAAAGCTGTTTTAATTACTACAAAATATAATAATAAATATAATCTCACAAGATTAATTTTTTAAAAGAAAATTTCTCATGTGAGTATAATTTATGCTACATACTTACTAAGTTCAAGACTCCATGACAGAGGAAAGCTACTTAGAGAAAAAATGGTCCAACTAATACCACTAAAGTGACAATGTTACAATTTATTTTATATGTTTCAATCGATTATTTTTAAAAGCGTATTATTCCTCAGCAAATTTCATAGTTTGTGTTTTGTTTCCACAGGTCACGAAGCTTTCGCCAGGGTGGAGTCTATTCCGCAAGAAGACGGTTCCCTTTTAACTTTGGGCCAATTAATGCGTGATCGCGTAGCCAGTATAGTGCATATTGTCCGTTAATTTTATTTATTATTATACACATAAATAAAAACATTTGTTTTATTTCCTACATATTTATTGTATAAGTATTACATTCGTTGGCCTATTTCGCTTCTAAGAGAAATATAATCAGCAACACTCTAAAAATAAAGCTGTAATAAACAAGTTCCAGTGTCTGATAATTTAGTAACTTAAAATCTAGTGTTAGTATGATAAAATGGTTAGTATAATTAATTAACAATTGACTACAACATTATGAAATAATAAATGTTATTTATTACTTTATTAGAGGATAATAATAAAGACAAAATAAAGACAGTAACACATTTTTAAAGATAATGAAAGACCAAAGAATGAAACAAAACAAAATTTTTTAGATAAAAACTTAACAAATAAATTATTTTTGGCTTAAATTCTTATAAAAAGAAATAAATAATAAACGGTAGGTGATTAATTAACAATTGACACATTTTTAAATAATAAAATGTTGAGTACTAATTTTATTCCTATATAACCATTGCTGTCTCTATCAACTTCAAATAATTAAATACAATCTGCACATGCAAGAATAATTAGAATAACCAAGTAGTACCTAATACATCTATCTACCATGCAATATCTTTAATTAGTTACTATTTAGTTAATAATAAATTACAGCTAATATATATAAATATATAAAATAATTACCTAAATTATAATTGAGAAAATATCTATTAATAATAAATAAATAAATATAAAAATAATAATAATAAACAAAATTAATATAAATCTACTCATAAATAATATGTACTTCAATATCTAAATATAAGATTTACTCCTTAATTTCAATATTATGATTTTAAACAAAAAGCGCTTCATCCTCTCCTCTAAAAACTAACTTGCTGTGCTCGACACGGTCCATAATTGTTTCTCTGTAATTTATCTACCAGCCTTGTATACATTATGGAATGCAATAAAGTATTGAGTATTGAGATTGAATGTGATGAGGAAATAATAGACAAAAACAAAGACTGTAACAAATTTGCCAAAGAATAAACAAAACAAAATTTTGATGATAAAAAACCCAACAAATAAATTATTTTTTACTTAAAATATAGTGTTATTAAGAAAAAAATAAATGGCAATTAATTAATTAACAATTGACAAATTTTTAAATAATAAAATGTTAAGTTCTAATTTTATTTCTATAATAGATTACCATTGCTCTCTCTATCAACATCAAATAATTAAATACAATCTGCACATGCAAGAATGTGATGTGGATACAATACACAAAAACAAAGAAACTAACATATTTGCCAAAGAATGAAACAAAACAAAATTTTGATGATAAAAACCCAACAAATAAATTATTTTTGACTTAACATGTAGTGTTAGTAAGGAAAAATAAATGGTAAGTAATTAATAAACAGTTGACAATTTTTTAAATAATAAAATGTTACTATGTACCTACTGTATTACCATTGCTTTCTCTATTAACATCAATAATTAATTAAATACAATCTGCACATGCAAGAATGTGATGAGGATATGATAGACAAAAACAAAGACAGCGACACAATTCCTAAATGATACTTATATATACAAATAAATAATTTATTTGTTAAGTTGTTTTGTTGTTGTGAATGTCCATCTGATTGGTTGGTAACTGGGCAGATGTGGGTGACCGAGGCTGCAGTATTGGTGGTGGCACTTCCAACTCTACAAAGTTGGCTGCCAGTGCTGAATCATTCTGTAAATAAAGGAAATTTCTTATAAATATAGCCTTAGGCACTTTAGAGCATCTAGTCAGAGTATTTGTAATATAGCCCAAATTATAAGAAACAACAAAATTAGTTTAAAAAGATTTTGAAATTGTTTTGACTTAATCATGCCATAACTATAAAATTCTAGCAAAATGTTATGTAAGTATGTGGTGTGTATATAATGTTAAAGTTTAAAGTTTGTAATGCCATATTTATGTATTAATGTACATATTATTATGTAGTATTTATCTATGTAATATGACTTTAAATATTCATTAAACAAAGCTAAAGCTAATGTGTGCATTTCACAATTAAGTAATTTAATTACATATAAGCTTATTATAAGTAACACAAACATTACAAAAGCAATATTACCTGAGGCACAGGAACTATTTCATTTATTGAGACCATGCCTGTAGCAGCCTCGGGCCCCATCAGGCTGAGGACTCACTGCTCCAGGTTGGTGATGCAAACTTTTAAAGCTGGACCACCACCAGTTAGTATTTGTTTTTTAGGTCACTCCACACCTATTACGTGCAAAGAAAACATGCTTATTAACTATTAAAATACAATGGCAAATGTAAAGCAAGTAAATTATTAATCACAGATAACTCTTGTATAAGTAGCATTTAACATCGAAATTGTCTCGATTGAATGGATTAACTAAATGCTGGCTTTATGGGAAGCCTTTATAATAATATAATTTTGATTATTGTTGTACCTCTTTCCATTTGTCCACCGGTTTTGAACTTTCGGTGGGATCAATGTTAAGCACCTTAGCGAGCTCCTCCCACTTGGAGACGCCGCTAAGCCTGCCGTGAGGACCACCAGCAGGCTTTTTAAGGTCTCCATTTCTAAAATATATGTAAAATACGCGAAAAAATAGAACTTGATGTTGAAGAATTAAAACTAGTACTAAAAAACATTCAATAACTTAAAAGATATGAATTAATACTTGCTTACCTTTCCATAAACTCCACCATCACTTAATATTGCGAGTAACTTGTCTTCGTACACATTTTTTAATGTTTTTTATTTAAAAATAGTACTAGTAATCGTCTTATAACAAACTTGCTTGAAATGGCGGGACAATTACTTTTTCTTAGCTGTCAAAAGACCGAATGTATATCTATTTCACTCTTTTAGTCGAGAGTAAGAGAGAAAGACATATCAGTGTGAACATCGTACATTCGTTCGTAGTCTATGCTTCTCGTAATACGTTTTCGAGAGCTCGTTCGGTCCAAATTAGACACTCGTACTACCAACTTCTCGAAATCGCAATCTTTTTACGTCAGCTCGAAAACTTTCAACGTCTTGTCGCTGGGGAAACTCATACTTGTTGATGACGATTGCTGTCATGTGTAACGACTGTTAGATACAGTTCCATATTTAATTAATAAATATAGATGTTATACATATTATTATGTTATGTTTTAAGCTATTAGCTTATAGGGTTCGGATCCCGACATTTCACCAAATGTGCTTTTGGGACACGATTATTTTAGAAAAATATTCAGTTCTGGCATGGACAGCATATATCATAATATATGTACCTATGTCTAACTTAAAATCAGAACAACACCATATGTAAAAGAAATGAACATGTTGCGTCCCGTTGCACCCGTCATTTTAATACTGCCGAAGCGAGAAACGTCATTATTATTATGTAAAAGATAACTTGCAGAAGAATACTGGATAGGATCAGTGGCAGTTGTCAACCAATCGAGTAAGTACATATTATGAAGTGTGGGAGTGCCGAGTGCCAACGCACGCTCGCTTGCCGACTTATACCATAAAAAAAATATGAAAATATGTGGCTTTTAAAACGGTAAGTAAGAATAAAACAGTGTGATTTCAAGAAAGAAATATATTTTACCGATAAAAAAACAAACTTACATATACTTCAAAAGAACACATTTATATAAAATTAGATTTCGTCCTCTGCTTTGCTTCTACTCTATGCCAATCTGCCTCTCTTAGTACTCTACTCTACTTAGCATACTATATCTATCCTACTCTACGCTTTTTTGGTGTGTGGTTGGAAATCCTGCTCTACCCTTACTTTTTATACTCTATCTATCCTATTCTAGTTTAATTTTTATACCTATATGGCACCTAACTTGCACTATGGTCTGTTTGTTTAGATAAATAATATAAACTAAAATCTTAGCATGTCTTTTTGTTTTAAATTTTATGTTAAAATGTCTTCAATCAGCTATTTACTTAAAGCGACGTTTGCTAATATTTTTTATGAAATTGAGTAGTTTCCGATTTCAAAAATAAATTAATTCGATGTTTTAATACAATCAAATATTGAAAATTAACTATACTTTTATTCATTGATCGGTCGATTAACTAAATTTTAGATACTTTTCAGCTAATTTTTAAGAAATAAGTAAGCTATTTCATAGAAAAGTATCATTTTTGACATTTGGTATTGAATTTGACTAGTTGGAAACTACCGCATTTTAAGACTTACTTTTTTAATAGAATAAGACATACCAAGATTGTTTTCCTTTAGTTAACCTTTATCTCCAATAGACCATAAAGATATCTTAATTTTAGAAACTTCTTTTTATTCTTCATAGTGTAGTTTCAGGATAGAAGATACATTTTTGGTGTTTATACAACACTGTAACTGTTGGAACTGCTTAAAAATTACACACACACACACACACAACGATACACTACTAAACTAAATGTACCTTGTACTTATGACAATGTAGTGGGTTTACTTAGTTTCAGGTTTTACATCTACTTTTGGTACATCGCCAAATAGCCTTACATCAGTTTTAGGCGTGAAGTTCTTGAAGATTGGGTTTTTTTCAAACTCCGCTGGTATTATCATAGGAGATCTTTTAGGGCTCTGGGTTTCATAAGTACACTTTGTCGATTCTGTTAAGTTCCCTGTGAATGAAATAATTATAGAGCCTTAAAAATTTGGCCAATCATGTGTGTTGCGCAATTCTAATTTGTAATCAAAGTATTAAAGTCTCATTCGTTAATTTTTAAGTTTTTATGGAACGAGTACAAGATTGCAAACTGGGTTACCAACCTCTTGACGTTGAGTTCCGGGACACCCTGTATAAAGAAAAAGTAAGTAAACTTATTTACCGGTGCATTTATATGTGTTTGTCAGTAATACCAGCTGTCCTTGCTTGCACTCTTCGCAGGGCTCCAACTTCCCAAACGCCATGCATTCGGCAAGACTGTCCAAACGCTGCAAAAAGTTTTTTTTTTGTAAAAATCAATCGTCGCACATCATATTAAATGTGAATGTTAAACTACATTTCACGAACCTCATAAGATCCAGATTGGTGGGGTATCTTCTGGGAGTTCACCTCTAATAGCTTTTCCATATCTCGCTCAGAAAGCCCACTGAGGGCTTTTCTATATTTGTGCAATAATTCATTTTGCTGTAAAAATGTGTTCTTGGCTTCTGTGCTTGTTTCTGTTTTTATTTTCTTAGCAGGTTTGTTGCCTGAGGACTTTCTTTTCTTGGAAAGTATAGCAGCAACTTCATCTGAAATCCATACAATAAATATTTTTGTGTTCTTGTAAGATGGTTATTCTGTAACTAGTATTCACCGGTTTTTATTTGAACTTTAATAATAATAGGTTGGGTTAGTAGCTAGCTGGCTAGGTACTGCCTAGTTTTATTAGGTAATACGAATATTTGTAGTTTTCCACTGCCACTCTCTAAAATACAATATTTTATTATATCACGAAAAAAGCAAAAAAACTTCATACCCAAATAATCCTTGATTCTCTTCTGATCCTCATCTTTGAGTGTGGAAAAATCACGAATTTTATCAGGAGTAATTATGACCCTGATTTTTTTTAGAAAACATAGTTCATGATGCCATTTGTAGTCGTTAGCACTAAAGTAGTCGCACTGAAATTAAAATAATACTACTTGTTATAGAAAATAATGTTGTACAAGTTCTTATTGAAAACTTAGATTTGAAAGTAGGTATACAGGGTGAAATTTAATAGATGCGACATTTTTAAATATAGAATAACATTGACGTGTTGTGAAGATAATTTTATTCATATCAATTGCAAAACGGATTCACCACATTGAGATAAAATAATAATATATTAGATACTGGTTTACTAAATATTTTAAGTTTAGAGCAAACATTTTAAATACTATCTACTAGTAACTATCTAATAAACATGTAACGAATGAACTAACCGTAACACGCTCAATAATAGCGATCCGCACAGTTCCTTGATCGATTTCTTGTCCACATCCACGACACTTCATTCTTCCACTTTTTGCATATTCCGCCTTAAAACGGAGCATGAACAAGTCAACAATATTATTATCCTTTGGCATTGTAACGCCACTGGATATTCAGCAAGTAATGGAAATAGTTTCTAATTATTAGAAACGTTCTCAAATTGTATCAAGTTTTTCTTTAAAATAAATATTTCCGTAGTAATAGTGAACGAACCGTATCTAGTACCTAACCGGCTTCGACTACCGGCTTGAATGAAGGCGACCCGATGGCGCGGCAACACGACGCCGACAATCTGGACTACAAAACTCCCAAATCGGGCCTCTGTTTTCGCAAGGCCAATACGTAGGATATGGGAAAATAGGAATATTGTTCTCAATAATAGGTACTTAACTTACTTACATTATGGTTATGAGATAACATTCCTAGAATGGTAAAAATAACACGTTACGTATGTAGTATGTTATTTATGTTGATAACATTTGCGCTCTCCAAGTTTATTAATTATAAATTAATGGTTGTTGTAAGTCATTTACATAATTTTTGGCTCATTTCAAATCAATGTCATTATAAGTAGAATTGGGTAGTTTCCCAAGTCGAAAATAAATTAATTCGACGTTTCAATACAATAAAATATTTAAAAAAATACTTTTAATCGTCGATCGATCGATACACTAAGTTTTAGAAATTACGTAGCTATTAATTATTAAGAACTAGCTTCCGCCATCGCCAGCGGCTTCGCCCGCGTGCTGTGTTGATAAAAAGCCTAGAGCAATAGAACGAAATCGAAGTATACATAAAGTTTGTTATTAATCGTTATATGGGAACATCTCCCAATCGTTAAATGGGTAAATAGTACCTAGATACCCTCTTAGGTACTTACTAAGTCTCCGCTGTCTGTCGGCCCAAAGATAGAATGGTACGAATCTAACTAATAGGTACTTACCTAAGTATTACAAATATTTAATTAAACCTATTAGGTATCTATATTTTCGCGTCGAGTGCGGCAATCATTACACAAAAATAATCCTTATAGCATGATTTAGTGTTCACATGCGACGGCGCGATCGCGATGGCTTATTATCCGAACTACTAAGCTATCAGGAGTTAAACGTGCTATTGTGAGTTAACCATAAAAGATAGACATAATATACTGTAAAACAACTTCCTTCCTTTATACATAATTTCTTTGTAAGTACCTTTAACTATCCAGGCTACACACGCGACGGAAACTTAAAAAAGGGAGTAACTTCTCCCATTTTCCCAACATTTCCCTTCACTGCTCTGGTCCTATTATTTGTAGCGTGATGAAAAGTAGGTATCCTATGATTTGCCCAGGAGTACCTATAAAGAATATTTGTACCAAGTTTTGTTAAAATCCGTCGAGTACCTACCTAGTTTTTGTTTCTATAGGTAAGGAACATACAGACAGACACAAATTTTACTGATTGCATTTTTGTCATCAGTATCGATCACTTATCACCCCCTGCCCAAGTAACACAGTCATGCTGAATAACGTTTGAGTACTAGTGATCCGCGAAACTATAAGCTGTAACTATTGTCTGGATATTGTCTGAGTGAACGTCTATTCAACTGTTACTCAAGCAATTTGGGCACATTTTTAAATGCATAAGTCTGTATAATATAGCTGTAAAGTTTGGGTAATTGCTTAATAATAACAGGCTTAACTTAATAACGTCTGAAAAAAAGCTGTCATCACTTTAATATAGCTATTATTTCGTATTTATTCAGACAAATGCATATGGATTTTGTTATTCAAAAATTATTCAGGATTATGTTCATTTGCGTAATACTTTTCAAACATAATTAAAAGTTAAGTTGTGAATTAGAAAAAAAGTTGTGTTTAATCGTGCAGTGTGTGCTTTGTTTTGAAATTTCATAGTTTTTAGTAAAATAAAGATGGTAGTGGAACTATGCGAATCGGTAAGTACCTAAATGTTATTATGTATTATAACCATGATACACGTAAAAAATTACTGCGCAAGTTATTTTATCGTGAAAAGCATATAAATTATCTCAACATTTTTCACGCGCCGCTTTCATATTCATTTTTAGTAATAGTATATGACATATAAATAAAGACTTTTAGAAGTGACAAAAATACTTAGGATGAAACAGTTATGCTAATCTTTCAAAAGTCATTAAGTTACTCAAAAAATATATTTTTAACTGTAATTAATTACTAAAATGGGGCATTTTATATACGTAATGTTTCAATAATTTACTTAAAAATAAAATAAAATGGCGATTCATTATAAAAGTTCTCCACGCAGCTATTTTACAGTACAACTCTGATTTAATTTGAGAAATAGTGATTAGGCACTACAAGTATCTGAATAACACTTGATAACGTTACTAAATGTGATTAATTATACAGCGAATCAGGGTTCAAAACATAATACGACGGACCAAATTTCTCAGGAAAATTGATATATTTATATGAGTAATTACAAAAAAGGACCACTTATATTTTTCAATACAAATAAGGGTTTATTTTCTACCTATTCAGTGGCAAATGATACAACACAAATACTATGCATAATGTTTTATTCTTATTTTTTTTTGCATGTACATAAACGCAGTTATAACGATGTTATGTTTTTGTTTTTCTAGTTTTAGGTAGGTTGGGTTAATTTCGTATTACAAAAAATTACAACCATCTATGCGATGGGGGTAGTTTAGTAGTATGTAGATTCATAGTGAATTATTTTAGCTAGAACAAACAACATCGAGTAATTTACACGTATTGATCAGTTACTATTATTCACAGATAGGGAGCGCACCGCGGCTGCAAGTTAGTGCGTGGCGTGTGTTAAACTCGCGAAATTATAGTTTCTAAAAGGTTTTTATAGTTTTATTGTTTTTAGCTATCATAAAATAGTACTTACTCTAAGTTCCTAACATAAAGCGAAATGTCTTGCAGGAGAATGCCGTTTAAGATTGTTTCTACTCAACGAAGGGGCAGAGCAGAACTATGCACTCTACCTTCCCACTGGGAAAGCACAGCGAAACTGAAATGGCCCAAATTTAATGCCGATTACCTTTGTAAAAACGAAAATGCTCAACCTAGTCCGGATTGGATTTCAATGAACTGTACCTTAAAAAGAAATAATTTTACAACCTTTGAAGATGCAGAAGAAGAGTTATCTAATATGACGTTATGTGTAGACCATAGTGTGTACAATACGTCGTCTCTGGAGTTTGCCTCCAGCTCACTAAAATTTTAAATATATGCGAGTTTGTAAAATCATCCCCAAGAAGGCTTACTGTTTTTTTAATTTAGTAATTATAAGATTGAACGGATTTTTTTAAATTTGAGAAATAAAAGAAATTTTGATAATTTTAAACGCTTTTAATTATAATAACTAACTTCACGAACAAAATTTCACATAAAAAATGAAATTCTCTTATTGATTTTTTCAGTGCGACTTGTGAAATATTTTTACTAAGAGCCCATTTTTTAATTTCAATAAAATTCACATCTGATTTATCTTCACTAGATGCGGAAATATTATCTTCTGAATTCTGTACAAAATCTATAACGGCATTATTTGAAGGTACAGAACTCCCTTTAACTGGATCTGTTCGGACTTGACTCAAATTACGACTACCTAAGCTCGCTCTCGTAGTACCTAAAACAATGTTTTAAACGTCTTTAATTCACTTACTACCCAGAAAAACTCGTTATAAGTTCTTTAAAAATGGTATTTTTACAAGTAATTGCGGAATTAAAATACATCATTCGACTTCCATCTGTGTTACGTTAGCTATAAACTATGACTTTATTTCCCTTATACCAAAATAAGCTCTATTAAGAACACAGAAAATACTTTTATACAGTAGTTGAATAATTGATAAAATGTGGAACCTTATATGACTTGACGGCAAAATAAAAGCTGTTATTCAAAATACAATGCTATTTTTCCTTTCATTAGAAATTACTTACACTCTTATTCAGAAGACACCTGCCGTGGACACAGTTTTACAGAGTATGGTGGTTTTATAAGCAATAAGTTGAGAAAAGTTTGTTTATTAGTATTAGATAATTACGTTTATTCAGCTACTTATACTATTATACAGATAAATGCTGACCCGGGCAATATTTTTCAAATTAAAGTCACCTGTAATGCTTTAGGCTTAATAATATCTGCGTTTTATGCTGTACAGAAGTTATTACTAAGCTTTAAAAATAATAGTCGACCTTAATACAACTTTTATCAAGCATAAATGGCTATTAAGGCAGAAAGAGAAAATTATTCAGAATTTGGCTATTTCAATAGCCTTTCCTCACACGTTATGGAGCTTATATCTGTAAATATTTTCGAATTACTTTTACTCAAACACTATTCAGCATGTCTGTGTTACTTGGGTGGTAGTTATTTTGAATATATTCAATGTAGGTACAGAATTGACCTCTCTACAGATTTATTAGGTATAGGTACCTAAGTATAGATATAGATTAAGCTATTCGACGCAAAAAATAGGTACTATGACGTCATAACTCAGTTTTTAATACAAATTTCATAGAAAAGTATCGTTATTGACATTTGGATTATTTTGGATAAAAGTACGTTATTGAATTTGACTAGTTGCAAACTACCGTAGGTGTTATAAAAATTAGTGCTAGTTAACATAAATCAATGGTAAAGTTAACCTGAATCTTTTTTCAGGTTCAACGAATAATTATTGCTTCCTCTTTGCTAAGGAGATTCATTTAACTTTATAATCTTCTACCACGTAATAATATCTGAACTCAGGGCGCATAACGCATTCGACAGGTCCAACCCAGTTAAGGCCTAATTTTCGCAAATAATACATATTACTTAGGAAACCTTTGACTGAAAAATATTGAAAGCAAATCCTCCGCTACCGAGGGTAGGTCACCATAAACCTACGTGACGATATCTACTGTCGGTTATTCTGTTACTTACCAGTTTATAAATTTAACCCTCTCAACGGTTTTTTTGTGACGGGGAAATCATCGAATGACATCCCGACCAGGGTGGGGCAGGAGGTCGTGTCAGATTCTTATTGAAAAACCCACCTCAATCAGTATTGCCCTAGCCCCGCAACCCCAGTTGAACATCAGCCCTATACATATATCGGCTGATTATATCCCTGAGGACATCGCGGCGCGGCGGTGCTTATCCCAAGCAGGGGCGTGCGTTCGTGCAGCGGAATGTTGTTGAATTTAAAGATTTTAATTATGCAGATATTTAGTGTATGACGTCGTATAATTGTGTATGGTAAAAAAAAAATTGTGCACGCAACCATTGTAAAGAAATTCACCAAAAACTGATTCCGCTGGGCGAACGTTGTCCTGGCGGAACTTTTTTTAATCCATAGAATTTAGAAGAAAAGAGATGTATCCAAAAAGTAGTGTGTATTTGTGTGTAATTGTGTATGTATGAATAAAACTAGTGCATGCATAAACTTCGGAGAAATTCAAGTTTCCGCTACGCGAACGTTTGGCCATTAGCTAGTTTTCATATAAAGCGCTTACATAGAGAGCTGTAGATTTTTACATACGTTGTTTTGAATTTGTGTATATTTGTTTAAAAAACAGATTTAGAAAAAATCGTAGGGTTTAAAAGATAAAAATATAAACGTAAAATACGCTTATTAGGTCTTAGTTCTTAAAGTATGCACTTTAGGGTCTAGATTTTCACGTTTATACACACCTTGTAAGTGTTTGCAACATGTTGCCAAGTATCAATGATGTTCCGTTAGTAATTAAATAGTTATAGGACAAATTTACCATGAATAGATCACTGTTTACAAAGCAGTCAAATATCACGACTTTCTAAATGAATTGCATGGTAAAATGTATGCCAATAATTAGTGTATTCATTCAACTATTCACATGCAAAATTTCATGTCATTAAATTCAGTAATTAAAGTAAAACAATTATAATACTGACGAAGCATCGAAAACCTACATAACCCGACCAAGTTCGGATGGCTACAAAAAAGCGGCTGTGCAATATATTTAGGTAACATCCCAAAATTTACAGTATAATACCGGTATTGAATTGGTACAGGTGATAACACACTTGTTGTTTCGAAATAATTTATAGGTCATTTATTTTTGAACACCTACTTTTTTAAATGTATTTGACTATGACAGAAAGTAGATACTAAGATACTATTTACGTAGGTACTTTATTTAAGTATGCGCTTGAGACTTGAGATATAATCTAATTATATTTAAGACAAATAAAATTCATACAGCTAATTTCTATTGAAGATATCACGGATCAGGATTCTAACTATAGACCCCTTAGGGAAATTAAATATTTACCACATGTAAGTATGTACTACTGTTTAGGTAAATATTTATCATATTGTAGCTTATTACACTATTTAACCAATATTTTTATTACACTATTTAACCAATAGACTAGGCATGCACGAGCGTGTGTACGATACTGTGTTTTATTTTTTCCTAACGCTTGTGTACGATACTGTACCATATTAATAAATGCTATATTGGAAAGTTAAGAACGTTTCTTAGATATATGGCACGGCCGCTTTTTTGTAGCCATCCGAACTTGGTCGGGTTATGTAGGTTTTCGATGCTTCGTCAGTATTATAATTGTTTTACTTTAATTACTGAATTTAATGACATGAAATTTTGCATGTGAATAGTTGAATGAATACACTAATTATTGGCATACATTTTACCATGCAATTCATTTAGAACGTCATGATATTTGACTGCTTTGTAAACAGTGATCTATTCATGGTAAATTTGTCCTATAACTATTTAATTACTAACGGAACATCATTGATACTTGGCAACATGTTGCAGACACTTACAAGGTTTGTATAAACGTGAAAATCTAGACCTTAAAGTGCATACTTTAAGAACTAAGACCTAATAAGCGTATTTTACGTTTATATTTTTATCTTTTAAACCCTACGATTTTTTCTAAATCTGTTTTTTAAACAAATATACACAAATTCAAAACAACGTATGTAAAAATCTACAGCTCTCTATGTAAGCGCTTTATATGAAAACTAGCTAATGGCCAAACGTTCGCGTAGCGGAAACTTGAATTTCTCCGAAGTTTATGCATGCACTAGTTTTATTCATACATACACAATTACACACAAATACACACTAATTTTTGGATACATCTCTTTTCTTCTAAATTCTATGGATTAAAAAAAGTTCCGCCAGGACAACGTTCGCCCAGCGGAATCAGTTTTTGGTGAATTTCTCCACAATGGTTGCGTGCACAAATTTTTTTTTACCATACACAATTATACGACGTCATACACTAAATATCTGCATAATTAAAATCTTTAAATTCAACAACATTCCGCTGCACGAACGCACGCCAAGCAGGGCCCATCGGGTGAACCGTTTAAATGGTTAAAAACGTAATGCGTACACAGTACCTACTATTGATTCTTACATACCTACGTACATATATTGTACTAAGACTCGGGTTCGATTCTTGGGACAGGAAAGATGGGGTCCATGCAGAATACCAGCAAGAAAAGGGAGTTTACAGGATAGTAAAATAAAAACAATTTGCGAAATTCATTTCGTATATTTAACTTTCGATTGTTTAATGCTTGTTTATTGTTATTTCTTATTTATAACGTGCCGTCTCTTCTGCAAAAACTCGTCAATTCAAAATAACACATTCTTTACACAAATTCCTTATCTATACACGAAGAGTTACATATGTAGGTACTAGGTACCTTCGCTTTTATTGGAAATGATATTCCCATTAAATGAGTAACTTGCCCATTCATAGAAAATATCTACCATTTTATCCAATAACACATAAAAGTATAATCAATTCAGTGACAATGCAGCAGTAGCGCTCAAATCAAAACAATAAAAGAAAATAATCAACTTATAAAAAAATTATTAATAGACGATAAAAATATGGCACATAACTATTGCATTTGAGATTTCTGTTCCATTTTAGAAATTTTGATATTTTTCTATACAGCGGCGATAAAAAGTAAGTACCTATACTGTACTTGCCTGCTATTTTTATCAATTTAAATAACTATTGAGTTTTTATCACAAACAGTCAGTTTCATTATTATTGTAATATTTATCTAGATCTTGCTTACTATAGGTACCTACCTAAGAGACATATTTTGTGGAACTTGAGAATCTTAAAAACTAATCTATTACTTATGTTAATTTTGATTTGTAAAATAAGTGCACTTTTTTTAGGTCGGCAAACGAGCAATCCTTTTACCTGATTTAAAGCAATCAGCGCCGCCCATGGACACCCGCAACAACGGAAGAGTAACAAGTTTGTTGCCAACCTTTTGAGGATTATGGATTTGGAGACTTTGGGATTAGGGAAGGGTAAGGATGTCGTGGTGGCCCGGAGGTTAAGGCGCCCGCTTCTCATGCATGAGGGTGCGGGTTCGAAACCTGGCAAGTACCAATGTGACTTTTTCCGAGTTATATGTACTTTCTATGATTATTTAGACACCGCTGACATACGGTGAAGGTAAACATCGTGAGGAAACCTGGACTTATAATTTCTAATTATAAGTTTGAAATCACCAACCCGCATTGAGCAAGCGTGGTGATTAATGCTCTAACCTTCTCCGTGTGAGAAGAGGCCTTTGCTCAACAGTGGGCACTTATAGGCTGATGATGATGATGATGAAGGATTGGGTGGATTGGGCCTCCGTTTACCTTACTCACACAACGAAATACAACGGTGTGGTTGTTTCACGCCGATTTTCTGTGAGGCCAGGTATTACTCCGCTCGAGCCGACCCATTAGTGCCGAAGCATGGCTCTCCCATACTTGTATAAATGCTAAGGTGGGTCAACGCGCCTAGTTAGAGCTTGCTTATACGTTCAAGCTATCGACACGTGTATTGGTTAGCCTGCTCCAAGTTAACCAAGCACAGATGGCCAAACGCAGGGTACCTAATGTATCGACGGCATTAACGTTAAGGAAACTGTGACTGGGCACAGGTAACAATATAATCAGTATATGTGAATACCTACACAAATCACAGCCTTTTCAGTGTTTAACACATAAAACTTATTACAATACCATTGGTTTAAGTTTTATAACACGATTTCTTCATTACTTCCGTCCATCTCTTGTTATGGCCGTTTGCGGCACAGGGAATTGTTCAACTCAAATCATGGTATGCTGATTTTTGACATGAAAGCCTTTCATCGCCCTTTCATTGAAAGGTAAAAATTACCTACAATAGTTTAACTATGAAAGACTAATGCCTATAAATTTGTAGTTTTAAAAATAGTTTCACATTTGTAAGCCCTATACTCGAAAGCCACTTATTTACTTAGATAAAATTATAAGGTTTGTAAAATGCCGTTTTGTAAGTCAAAACGTCAACTACAATTGAAAGAAATGATAAACTTCCTGACTAATTTGTTATTGGTTTCTCGAGGTAGTTGAACTTGACCTGCAACAAGTAGTGCACTTTGATTTGTGCCTCATTGTAAACGATGAATCTGTAAGAAAAATAGCTAAGAAAAATATTATTTTGATAGGTAGATTACATTGATTAATTATGATAAGAACTTTTGTTGCTTTGCTAGCGCACTACACCCTGTGTAGTATGTGCCCTTGTCTGTTTTGTTAAAAAAAAAAGTAATTAAGTAAAGGATACTCGTTATAATAAAGCGTGTCCCGTGCATCTGGTTTGATCCGTATAGGTTTACCAAGTGGCACAATAGTCCCGTCATCCAAAACTCTATTATGACAAGGGTTTGGCATCGTAGCGCCCTCTCCAAATCTAGAGTGCATACCCTGTGGTAATGGCGACCGGTCTGCACGTATGACTTTGTGCCTGTAATCAAAGACTGCAGTTAGCTTCACCTTCGTTTACTGTAAGAAGAATAGTCCGATAATAAAATCTTTATTCAGATCTTGCTGTGCTCGCGGTTTTACGTAAGTATTTGGTAGCCTAGGTTATAGCGTAGCTTCTCAAAATTTAAGTCAGGTAGTTTAAGAACCTATTCAATTCAAACAATCAATCATTCGTCTTTTTACCCGACTACGGCAAAGCAAAAGGAGGGTTATAAAATATTAGTATAGATTTAATATAGGTGAGTCATTAACGGCTAGGTACAGTCAGCGTTAAATATGTAGGGACATTCAGGGTAGGTACTCATTTATATAGACGCATACAAACCGCCAAAATTGCGGTAGGTACCTACTGTACCTACAAGAAATCTGTAGCTCCTTTAGAATGCACCATTACAGTAAGTAATGTCTATAATTATGTCCAATAGTAAAAATGAATATTTTAAAAAACTTTTATTGTGTTGACTGCACGGTTGGTGCGGTGGCTGGGCAACTGGCTGCCGTGCAACGTGTCGCGGGTTCGATTCCTGCACGGAACAACTCTTTGTGTGATCCACAAATTGTTGTTCCGGGTCTGGGTGTCATGTGTACCTATGTGAAATTGTATGTTTGTAACCGCACCCACGACACAGGAGAACATACTAAAGTGGGGCAAAGTATTAAAAAAAAAAAATTGTGTGAGTCAAAGATTCGGACACTTTTTGGAATAAGAGGCAAATGAGCAGACGGGTCACCGGATAGTAAGTGATTGGCGCCGCCCATGGACACCTGCAGCACAAGAAGAGTCACAGGCGCGTCGCCGCTCGTATCTTGAAGGTTTGGTCGTATCGGTTCAGGAATATCGCCGCCGGATCATTCGAAAGTTCAGATCAGTTGCAATAATAAATAAATACTTAAGACATTTTTGTGGACTTTGAGTAAAGACATACAGCTTCGCATTTACGTTTCCACTTGAAAACCATACCCATACATTCATAGTACAAATAAAATCTCGTAAAGGCAACAATATACCCTCTTAGCTAACCACTTATTATGCTATTTACGTACATATTTCCGAGGGCAACCTCACAAAGCAGCAGGAACCCAACTGTATCAAAAAAGCTTTTACGACAATAATTTGCCGACTTAGTCACCATATCCGCAAAGTACACTCCTTTACCGAACATGTAGCCAGTGACTGGGGCCTCGGGTGGCGCTATGCGGAGACCTGCATGAGATATAGATAAATTTAATTAAACCGTTATACAATAAATTATAATATAGAAATACTTGAACTAGTGGTGCAGGGAGACAGATATACATTTTTATTGCTTTTGTTCGTAATTTAAGGCTTTTTGTGCCCTTTAATATTTTTTTAAGTTTTGTTATACGAACCTTGAGAAAGGATACCAACAAAGTTTGTCGTGCGGGATCCGTGCCAGAGGAGGCGTCTGTTGTGAAGCTTTTTAAATGGCGTGTAACGGTCATCTTCACCCTCACGAATCACTTTGAATACCTGCAATTATTCGTATACCTACAGAACAAGGCATTTTTAGCTCCGAATCTAAATAAAAATGATAACATGTCAAATTCAATATTTGGTTTATCTAGTTTAAGTTTTTAACACAATTGTAGCTTTATTTACCTCTAAATCACACATATAATATGGATAAGGACTTAAGCTGATAAGTATTTTCAGTTCACTGTTTATTGCTTGCAATACAGACATATGTTACGTTCATAAAACACGTTCAATAACGACATACCTTTTCAATGTTTAAAGTATAAGTTTTCACATGGGTGTGTCCATGGGTGTTGATCAAATATTCGTTTATCATCGCGTACTCCGGCGATGTGTCCGGCAGTAGTGCGATATCCACTTTTAACTTCAAATAGTTAGCTAATATGGGATTGTTTTCATTTGATCCTGAAATTCAAAATGTTCATGGAGAAATCTTTTTTTTACCAATTCAATAATTGTATGTGAACTACTTACGTTTTTTGAACAAACTGTAAGCTAGTTCTATCTCAAGCAAGTTGTCTAACAAGGCCGTCTTAGAGCGGATTATCTCCGCGTTGTCCAGTAATGGAGGATTATTCGCGCCAAAGTTGTGAGGAATCAATGTGAAAAACCTACAAACAAAAATTAAGTAGGTAATTTAATATAAACTTAAATGATACTCTAGTTTTGTAGAAAATCTTAAATAATAAGTAAATAAACAACCTATTAGTGGCATCTATAAATTTATTTTTATCGGTAGATCCACTATCAATTAATGCTTGAACTTCCGTCAAAATGTTGTATCCAGCAATAATTTGATTCTTGGATATTTTTCCTAGTGGCATCTTCCCAGTGTCGAGCTAGAACCAAGAAAATAGTTGAAGGCATAAAAAGTAGATGAGACGTATATTGTTAATAAAAATATATTAAGTATAATTTAATGTAGGTATGTTACCTCGAATTCTGTTAACGTCTTATTCATTGTAGTGACATCAAACAGTGTAATGATAAGGTTTTGTATAGTCTTGTCGAGGGCACATTTGTCGCTTACGACCAGGGTTTCGTTTGAAGCAAAGTCGGTCACATGGTCCATTTCCAGTGGATAGTATTTCCCTGGAAACTGCAATTTGGTTCCGAAATTAATACAAAATTATACTATTCTAGCTTCCCGCCGTGGCTTCGCACGAGTGTCTATAAAAGTAACGTAGGTATTCTGGAATTTTTGTATCGTTTAAAGCGATAGCTCGACTTAAATACGCATATCAAAGTCTTATAGCCTATAGCATTCAGGAACATTGTAGCTCATCAGTGAAAGAATTTTGGAAATCCGACCACCGGTCCACCTACATAAAAATTACCTCTTCATAACATTAGTATATAGATCTATGTTGAACACAAGCATCCGTGCCATACATCTTCATAATCCATGCATTTATGACATCAGTAGATAGTATAAATATAGATATTATATTACAAGAAAAAAAAAACATATTATTATATAGTTTCTTTTAGATATTATAGATAAGTAGACTTAGTAAGAACCTACTTTTTTAAATTGTCCCCTTTTGCTCCATTCATTTTGTGTTTTTTCCTGAAAGAGATATTCGAACTTTTCGACTGCAGCTTCTTGAGACTCGTAGGGTACGGTGCGAAAATCACCACACGGAGTGCCGATACGACCCCACGAAGTGAATAGCCAGTATCTGATAGAAACAATTTTTGTGTAGCACTGGTTTATACGACAATTTTTTTTTCAGCTGTGGATATTTTATTGCTTTGTCGTTCGTTACACATGTACCACCTTTGTACTAATATTAACCAAGCATAAATTAAAAGGTAGGTACAGCTAGTTTCTAGAAGATTAGATGTGTGTGGTGTAACGAGAATGTATAAAACAAGAAATGAACCTTTGGTTGTGTTGCAAAGAAAATAGTTACAAAAAAGATGTGTAACAAAAAGAATTGAAAATCACGTGATGCAGCATTAGTGAAGGAAGGAGATGAGCGAGGAACATATGAAGAGAAAGAGATAGATGGATTATATGATGTCAAAGAAAAATGTCCTAGTGGTAAGACTGGGCCTTCGGTATAGCCTCTATATGAATATTTATAAGACTTACTTTTGCTTATCATCGGCTTCCAACACCTGCAACTTGTAGTAAGAATTCTTCTGCGCTACGATGTCAGTCAGCGACAGTACCACAGTGTACTTGGTGTTATTACTATCCACATATACGTGGACTTTGCTTAGGTTTAGTTTGCAAGCTGGATCTACAGATGATCCTCCTGGAGGACAAGACAGTGGGTGCTTTAGTTTTATTCTAACTGTGTTTATTAAGTACCAGAAAATCGTTGGCATTTTTTTAATATTAAAGTACACCTAGATACTTTTGCACCAGGCACGATACGGCAAGAGCATAAGAAAAAAAAAACTAAACACAAAATAAAAAAACTATTAGGAAAACTAAAACATGTCTTAAATATTCTATAACTTAGCTATTTTACCTAATATCTTCATAATTGAAGAATTTTCTCCTGATACTTTAGTGGAAACTCTCGCGGCTGGCTGTAAATAAAAAATAGCTATTATGACTCTCGTTAATCAATATCATGGGGACTAATAAAGCTTTTGTTGATAACTTACGTCGGATCCCCAATCAGCGATATTATTTTCTTTGATCAGTTCCAATGACTGAGCGACAGTGCAAGAGCCGGCCTTTTCAATTACATCGAACAATGTTTCTTCAATAACCTGAAAATATGGAAAGGATTTGTATTATTTATCACGACTCCTGACCACATCCTAATAGGTCGCAGTACGTCAACTTAGAAAACCTCCCCAATGAGGCTTCAAGCATATGTTATACTAAAGCTACCACTAACATTCATTTTTCCATTCGTAAACCCTTTATTCTCTCAACATCTCTGTCACACCATCTTGTCCACCATAATATGTATATAATTTATATTTTCTTATGGATTAGGAACTCGTATAATTTTACCTGAATATCTTTAGATCGGATTTCTTGCATTTTATACAGCATTTTTTCCACATTAGCCTTGGTAGAGATCACAGCAGCGGTAGTGTCGACTAACTTAGTAATGACTACGCCGCCCAACTTTAAGATACGCTTGTGAATTTGTTCCTTATTGTCAAAGTCGCCATAAAAGAAGAACTGCAGGTCTTTTAGCGGCGGTATCTCGACACTAAAAATAAATATAGGTATAAATTGCTTGAATTGCAGATAGATATAACAAAGGTAGTAGTAGCATCGTAGGTAGGACATATACTTAATACATATACACAAATGGATGGATGGATATCTTATACGGTTGCTATGAAGGTCATTATAATTATAATTAGGTAAGGTACATGCGGGTATTAAAGCCTGTCGGCTAATAAGGCCTAAACATTAAAAATCTTGCTTAGAATACGATTTTGTGGTCAATCTCACGCACATGTATATTACACGTAAAAGGCGCCACCATGCGGCAAGTGTTGGCTACCACACTCGCTCTCGCTAATGGCGTGTTAAAACGTTGTCAAAAGTAGCCGCACGTCACGTTTTTACAAATATTGGCTCCGGTTAAACATAAATATTTCTTAAATTATTATACTTATCTCTTTGCTCTTACTGTCTGTACCTATTATCGTTAACTCATGCTCGTCCCACATTGCCTTATTTATTAACGTTCTACAGTCCAAATTGTATTTATTTGGTTTTCCATAAATACCTAACCTATGGGTAATAAGGCCTATAAAATTTTATAGTAGGCCTTATTATACTTATAGATATATATTCTTCAATGTTTGCATTATTTTCAAAAAGATGACTAATTTATGGCATTTCCTCTGAAGACATCGTCTTCCACTTGCACGACTAGAAAAAGAACAATAATAACTGGGTTTCATGAAAGCATAAGGCTATTAATTTTCGGGGTACTCCAGTGAACAAAGATCGTTTTGATAAATTTAATGAATGTAAGAAAAGCAATGCAGGAAATAAAAATACAAATTCAGAAGAAGAAGAAAACCAAGGGATCTAGGAAATTCTAACCTTCAAACACCTTTAAGAGCAATTAAAACAAAGTCTTTTCGCGGATCTGATCGAACCAAGGACACTGAAGGCGCTCAAGCAAGTTGGTACTGCCATGCCTATGAAGAAAACATACGGTTTTCTTCATGACACCCTATGTTTTCTTTACATTCACAGTACACAGTATGGATGACATAAGGCAGTGCTCTCAATGCCCCAAGTGGTATCATGAGGAGTGTGTTGGTTTATCAGTGGATGATAATGATGACTTCGTATGCCGTGGTGGATGTTAGATGAGGCTACTCATTTAATTCTAAAGTATTATTCTGCCATTGACTGGATAATGATTGATATCAAATACCAAATTATGTTATTTTAGTTGATTAATTGCATAGTTAAAGAAGCAGGCCTTGTTACCCTACCGAATTATAATAAGGCCTATTAAGAGCGTTTAAAAAAATGATAAATATTGTTTAGGTTTCATGCAGAAGTTGCTATTTTTTTGTTATAGTTTTGTAGTTGCCTAAATAAACGACTGATTACCGAATAAAACTTGTTGATTCTATTACCAGTTTTGATTTTACAACAAATTTCCCTTAGCTAGGCCTTAATACCCTCATGTACCATATGTAATGTTCTCTTACTGGTTTTCTCTCTTATTACACACTGTCATAAAAGCTTAAAGTAGGTAATACAAATATAAATAAACGCCATCTATTGGTGTATAATGATTGAAGAACAAAACAAAATGAGGGTACTTAATTGAAACAGTTTGAGCGGGTACTTTAACCACGGTAATACCATCTGCAGTATGTGTGTGTAGTGACTCAGCCGCATTTACAAAATAAATGCCTACTACAGCGCGGTACGTAAATATGAAGTGGGCCTGCCGCAACCCTTTTTTTGTATATGTTGTTGTAGCCGCAGGAGAAATACTTTATCTGTGAAAATTTTTACTATCTTGACACACAGATGGTCAAATTTGATTTTTACTATTATTCATACACAAATATAATAAACGACGATTACCTATTAATAATAAAATACCAATTCTTTGCGTATTTTATGCGCAAATACCTATCGTATCATTTATTTATTTATTTTTATTTATTTATTTATTTTATTTATTTATATAAAAGTTTACAATATAATCTTTACAGGTGTACACCCAATGCGTTTTATATTGTTATACATGTCAAACATTTGAGAATAATGAACAATTAAATCCAACCTAAAATTAAGATCATATAAATTAAACTACATAGTCAAAGAAAATAAAGAAACATGTCCAAGAGAAATTAAAATAGAAAAATATTTATCACTTAAAAATAAACATCTTAGAAATGTCACATAAAAATCTTAGAAATTTAATAAGAAAAACATAACCAATATACATCAAATAAAAATAATAATTTAATAATTCAAAAGTTTCCACTGCCATAAAAAATAAAACATTTTAAGAGCTCCCGCCTAAATCAAATATAATAAATAAAACACAAAATAATTAATTCTTAAACTATCCACATGAACTTAGAATGTCAGTAGTCACTTTTACGAATTCCGCCATTGTACAATTAAATATATCTATTTTTAGTGCTACCTTGTTGATGAGCTTTATAGCCCTAGGCACTGGTGCATATTTTCCCAAATTTGTGCGGGCTGACGGAACCTCAAACAGTCTTGCCCTGAGCCTTAGCCTGGTGTCTGGGACAAGCAGCCTCAAAGAAGCCAATACCGACGGATTATTTATTTTTCCTCGTAAAACCTCAAATATATATTTAGCTAGTGCTAGGTCGCGTCTAACTTCCAACTTATAGTATCCCACCATACCCAAGACGAATAGGGTTGGATACATAAGTGGGTAGAATGGATATACCCCATACTGCTTAAAATATAAATAGCGTGTGAATTTGTTTTGCATCTTCTCCACCATGAGGCTATATTTAACCTCATGGGGGTTCCAGATGAAAGCACTCGTTTCTAATTGACTCCTAACCAATGCATTATATAAACTTTTTATTGCAGTAATATTCTTAAAGTCTCTGCTTTCTCTCATTATGAAGCCTAAACTTCTGTATGCTTTGGAGCAAACTTTCACAATATGCTCACGGAAGGTCAGATCTTTCGTAACTAGTACTCCTAAATCTCGCACGGATGCTACGCGGGGGATGACTGTTCCCTCCATTTGGTATATGTAGTGCACAGGACTGACCGCACGAGTGCAGGACATGACATTGCACTTTGCCACATTGTAGTACAATTTGTTTTTCCGGCTCCACTCAACTACCAAGTCAATATCACTCTGTAAGCGTGCACAATCTCTTTCATCGGCGATTTGTAAAAACAACTTTAAGTCGTCGGCAAAGAGTAAACAATCCGCGTTCTTTATTACTTCTGGAAGATCATTGATCATAATAACAAATTCTAAAGGGCCCAGATTACTTCCTTGACTCACCCCGGATAGAGTGCGGTACTGATTCGATATGTGGCCGCTGTACTCTACAAACTGCCTACGGTTCCCAAGGTAACTAGAAAAAAATTGTAGCAGGTCTGGAGTAAACCCAGCCGTGGCCAATTTACACAAGAGAACGTCATTATTAACGCTGTCAAACGCTTTTCTAAAATCGAAATATGCAACGTCAAGCTGGGCGCCAGCTTCGGAATCAAGAACCGGAGCCGCCTTGTTCATAAAGCACATGAGGTTCGAGTTCGTGCTGCGACCTGCTCGAAATCCGTGCTGAGCGTCACTTAGCTGCGCGCTGACCTGAGGAGTGATGCACGCGCAAAGCGCTGTTTCAAAGACTTTGGCGAAGGTAGATAACACTGCAACCGGTCTGTAGCCACTCACGTCCGAGCTAGGCGCACCCTTAGGAACTGGAGTTACCCTAGTTAATTTCCACCCATCAGGGTAAACGCATTCTCTCAGGCAGAGATTGAACAAATGTTGCAGTGGGCGAGCCAACGATCTACTGCAATCCTTTACAACATAGGGTGGAACCCCATCTGGACCCACCGACCGCTTGGGCTTAAGACGCGCAAGCGCAGCTAGCACATCTTTGAGAGACAGCTGCCCCACGTGGATGCGCGTGCCGCACTCGGGCGCCTCGCGCGCAGCGGCCTCTGCGTCCAGACGTGGCTCCTCTATTCCATACACCGAACTAAAATAGTCTGCGAACTCCTGAGCACACTCAGCCTCTTCTAGGGGCAATCCATTTTTTACGATACGGGTTTTACTTTGTTTCGACCGTTTACTCCCTATAAAAGACCAAAAAGACCGTGGTTCTTTTGTAAATTGTGACTCAATACGGCTTTGATAATTACTGTAACAGATAGAAATGTTACGTTTTACTAAAGAACGAAAATGTGAGAATTTTTGATAATCGTTGGTCGATCCACTACTCTTATACGATTTATGCCAGAATGCTTTTTGCTTTATGTCGCCTATGAGTTCTGCCGTATACCACTCCGGGTATTGGTACCGAGATCCACTGACTTTAGGCTTTTTTCTGGGAGTGCTTTCATCCAATGCTTTATAAAATAAATCATAAAAAACAACATACGCTTCGTTGACGCTTCCCGCCTCATACACCGCATTCCAATCAGTTTGCGACATCGCGATATATAGTGAGTAGAAGTCAGCTTTAGCGAAATTCCATCTTGGGTAAAGGGTAGCAGGAGATGGCCGTGCCGCATGTTGTGATCGCGCTATGCACTCGCGCGCATTCGTCAATGCCACATACAACGGTGGGTGCTGTGGGTCGATGCAAGACAGGCTCTCACTTGCTTCAGCTACCTGTAGATCCTCGCTGGAAAAGGTGGTCAATACTACATCAAGCGTGCGATTATTACAGTTACAGATATTGTTACATTGTCGGAATCCGCAATAAGTGATAAAGTATTCATAATAGCATTGCACATTTTGGTTAGCAGAATACATGTTTAAATCAGCAACAAGCACAGTCTTTTCATATTTTATACACAGTTGTTCCATTAAGTGAAACATGAGCATATATTCACTTTCGCAAGCATTAGGTGGTATATAAGCTACTATACATAAGCAAATAAACTTATTATTGCGATGAATGGTTGCACATACCATTTCAAATAAATGATTGTCTAGATTAGTATTACCAGGTATGGACAAACTTTGCATTTCAAAACCACAATATAATCTACTGACTAACATAACGCCTCCGTGTTTACGACCATCAGCACGATCGCAGCGCAGCACAGCGTAGCCATCTGGTATAAGTTCTCCGTCGTGTATCGAACTGTTCAGACCGGTTTCAGTAATAGCAAAAAAGTCAGCCGAAGATGTTAGTAAGCTGTGGTAGAACGGTTTTAACTTAGTGCGAAGTCCTCTGACGTTTTGGTAGTAGAGGTTCAGTATATTATGTTGTTTGGTGTTTACTTGGGGACTATTGACTACATTATTGAGATGTTTTTGATTCACGAAAAGTTTTGTTGCGAAAGTTTTGGCGCCATGGTTTAATGCAGATATCCTCAGGCCAGTGTTTCGGATCCATCACATTGTCTGCTAGTTTGACAGGTACGCCTAATTTAAAAGAGGCATAGTTGCCCCTTGCCTTAAGACTTTCCACCGTGCAGGCCTCGCTACCACATATTGCCTTGAGGTGTGAACTGACTTGGTTTTCGGTGGTGCCAACCTTCACATAAAATAAGTGCAAGTACCGCCAGCGTTCTGAAGCTTCCAGTTGGGTAGCACCTGGTGAAGCTGTTCCTCTCATAATCCCAGTGGGCTGCTTGTACTTCTGTTTTTCTCTCCTGTTTACTTCTGTCCACCCACTATTTTGTATCACATCCTCTGAGTTAATGTCCTGGTTATCTTGAGTTCCACAGGTTTCATTACACGTATTCTGACTTTTAGATGTTTTGCAGAGACTCTTAGCCAAAGCTGTGTCTATTCTGGGCTGTTTCGATAGTTCAGTCTGTATTCCTTCGGAGATTTGCCGTGCCTCCATTCTCTCCAACTTTTTTTCAAGATCCGATATTCGATCGTTTAGCTTCGTGATAGTAGTGTTTACAACTAGAGCAACTTGTTCGGCTACGAAATTGCTAATTAAAATAGGCAGGCGCTCGCTCAAAGCTTGTTCCATCTCTTCTCGAATACTGGAGCGTAGGTCGTCTATAAATGATTTTTCAGGTGAAATAAGGTCACGTAATTGGCTATTTTGGTTATGGAATTTATTAGGATGTTTGCGGGTCGTTACATTCATACTGGGAGTATTGTCAGCGAGGCTATTGTTCGGCAGGTCATCTGTGGGGATGAAGTTATTAGATGTAAAGTTATCCTGCTCGATTTTCTTGTGATTTTCAGACTCAGTGTCTGTTCTTCCTAAACGAATGGGAGTGTTTGAGTTGTCTGCCTTTGGTATTTTACATTTGCACTCAACACAGGTCCATTTTTGCTTATATTCAGAGGTTTTGCTGTTATACTGCCTTATGGCTATATTAGCACAGAGAAGGTCGTACGTTTGACGACATGAACAGCATTGTAAATATTGTTTACTTTCAATTCCTTTCCGACAGCCTGCGCATACATTTGACGGAGGTGCCATCTTTTAACAAATATCGGAAATAGATTTAACCCTGGCGACAATAATAATCTACTAGATGGCGCTGTTGTCTCCTTTCTACTTTATTCAATTAGTTTTGTTCGTGGTTTTGTTGTACTTAGAACGATTTTAATTATCTGTGGTGTATTCTGTATCGTGAATGACAATAATTCAGCAAAGTCATTCAGTAAGTTTGTTTACATTGCACAGTTTGAACTTTTAACGAATATTTCTTGCTGTTTATTTTAGTTTAGACAAGTTTAGCACTTTTATTAGTTTTTGTAACTATTGAGTTTCTGTGATGCACTGATTGAAATTGTCCTTTGCACTTTTAGTACGCGAATTTCACTGTCTGTAAGGAATAACAGTTAATGTTTATATTTACACTTTACCGGTGAGTTCTTTTATTAAAATGCACTTGATACTTGGGATAACATTTCCACGTGAATATTGCACTTTTATACATTGAATACCACTAACTTTCTTAGTCTAGACTTCTTAGTTACATTTAAATAGCAATTATTACTTAGAGCTCATATTCAGAGAACGAACGAACGAACGAACGAACGGTGAACGGTAACGGTGAACGGTGGTGCATCATGATTGATGCACCACCTAATGTCCTGTAAGTAAGTGTAATGTAATGACCTAAGAGTCCTATTTTATTTATTGGACTTAAACTAAAATCCACCTACATAAAAAGCGGGTAACAGCTAACAAGTGAGACTTACGGCGTAGCAGTTGTTGCATGTGGTTCGAGTGCGGTTTCAAAAAGTCTTACATCAGTACAAGGAGTAAAGTTCTCAAAGATTGGCGTTTTTGCAAACTCGTCTGGAATGACCATAGGTGATCTTTTCGGGTTCTGAGTTACATAGGAACATTTCGTCCATTCAGTTAAGTTGCCTGTGCATTTATATTTGTTTGTGAGTAATACCAGCTGTCCTTGTTTGCACTCCTCGCAGGGCTCCAACTTCCCGAACGCCATGCATTCGGCAAGACGGTCCAAACGCTGTAATAAGGAATTTTATTGTAAACATTACATATCACCTCACTATGTTTATTTACTTACAACTTTTCTCGAACCTCATTAGGTCCAGAGCGGTGAGGTAACTTCTGGGAGTTTGCCTCTAATAGCTTTTCCATATCTTGCTTTGAAAGCTCACTTAAAGCTTTTCTGTATTTGTGAAATAGTTCATTTTGCTGTACAATTTTTTTGTGGTCTTCTTCACTTGTTTCTTTTTTTATTTTCTTTATGGGTATTTCGTCATCATTTAGTGGCCTGCAAATACAAAACACTTAAGTTACTAATCATTATACTTTTCTTAATGTATTGGATAAATATGACATATCTGCTATTTTTCTTACTTTATCTCTGCCAACACCATTTCCTTGTGTTTCTTCTTCAAAGTCTTAAATCCGGGTATACTGTCCCCGCCAGCATAGAAATGTAGTTCGTTTCTTAGTTTCACAAAACAGTTGACATGGTATGATAATAAATCTGGTTTTTTCTGATTATTTTTTTTAACCTTTTTCGAAATTCGAATTTCATCCTGAAATATAAAAATATATTTATATAATAGTTAGGTACTTGATTCAAACCACATTGGTCTTAAAAGTTTGAAAATAACTGCTGCAAAAGAAAGAGTTGTAGCCTAAAAAAAAGTTATTTTTTATTATAGCCTTAATTGTTTGTATTAATTAATTTAAATAAAAAAAATACTTGTTACCTTGCATATTTTAATACCACAATGAGTACAAGAAATCTTGTTACTTTTGCAGCACTGTATATTGTACTTTTTAAGTGCTTGTGCATTGGAAACAGCTTCAGGATCAGTAGGTCTTTTCTGAGGATTGCTAGGTTTTACAACTGGCACCACCATACCAGTTGATTTTTCTGGAACCAATGAAAATATTTTTTCCAATGATAAATGTGTAGATAACTGGTAATGGGAAACAGATGTAACAGAAATAGTGCAACACAAGCTTTTGATTGTTATAAGTACCATAACTAGTTTTTTTAAATGTCTTGTTAAATTAGAAATAAATTAGCTCTTACCAATTTTACTTTTAATTCTCATCTGATCATCAATCTTAAGGTTACAGAAATTGCCAATCTCGGCAGTAGAAGCAGGCTGGTTTGATTTAAAGAAACAATTTTCATGATGCCATCTTTTTTCCTTGCCATCAAAGTGAGAAGACTGAAAAGGACACAAATGTAATGTAATATAAAAAATATTGTTATTTCTATTTACCGACTTATACTAATCCTGAATTGCAATAAATCAACTTCAATGTACCTAACATTTATGTTCTTATTACTGACTAAATATAAATTAGTAAGTAGTAGATTAGCTATATAATAATTATAATTTATTAGTTAGTAAAAAACTTTGTTACAAGTGAGTTCATACAGAATGTCAATAACTTAGACCTCAAAATTAAATATATGATTTTGCTCATTTTAAGTACTAAAGTACTAAGAAAATAAGTTTAATAAAAGCCTGTGAATGAATTTGTTGATGTTCCTAGACAATATTTATTGTTCACATTCGATATACACCTCTACCCAATCGAGATAAAGGCTATTTTACCGTGTTTCGTACGTTTCAAGCAAACAGCAACCTTAGTGCATTAAAATAAGCATCAGTGCACTGCTGTTTACTGCCGTGTCATTGAACAATGTAAATAAACAATCTACGTAGGTAGGTACAGATTACAGACATCTAGATCTTGTCGATGGTACTAACCTGCACCAAAACAGCGATTCGAACAGCATTTTGATCAATTGTCGCATTACATGCTTTGCACCCCGATCTTCCACTTTTAGCATATTCCACTATATAAGACAAATCTCGATCAGTCATTGTGTTGGTGGGATGAGTACTTTATAACTTAAGTAGGTTTTTAAATAATGACTTATTTCTGTAGATTTCAACGGGATTATGGAATAGTAAATACCGGTCCTATGAGTTATCAACATTTCCCCCGAAGTGCCCCCAAAGCGGGCCTCTTTTTTGACAAGGCCACGGTACAAAGCCACAGTAGTGTACATATGGGATAATTTATGTAGGTACAAGTTTTACTCTACTTATAATTATGTATATGCATTAACGCTATACCTACATAGCAATGATTATAATAATAAAATTCCGTATAGCCGCTTCTTGATAACGTTCTCTAGATTTCCACTCATCACCTACTACACCACCATACCAGATCTTATTATGACGCAATAGGTGGGTACGCATTTTTATTGTATTATTTTTATGTAATTTTGATTCGCGCTATCAGACATCGCATTTTGTAACATCTTTATGAACTATTTTCATAGACCTGCTAAGCAGAAACACGTTGAAGAAACAGTTGGTAGGCAAACCCAGGAGTTCTTCATTTTTGTGTGATAGTACGCCAAACGAGCAGACGTTTTACCTGATGGTAAGCAATCAGCGCGGGCAATGGATGCCTGCAACACCAAAGGAGTTACAAGTGCGATGCCGGTATTTTGGAGATTAGGGTTTCGGAAATTTAGGGATTGGGGGAGAGGAGAAGGATTGGGCCGCCGGTGATTCTCTACTTTCACGTAAAACAACGCTGGGGTTGTTTTATACCGGTTTTCTATGAGGGCATGGTATCACTCCGGTTGAGTTAGCCCATTGGTGCCGAAGAATAGCTCTCCGATACATTGTGTTTTCTGTTTACTAAAAATTTAGATTAGACTAGCAACGGAAGGAGCGCAATAGAACGCATAGGTACGCCAGTTTTGTCCTGTCGCGAGACAACCCCGCAGTTTCATACATTGGATAGGATATGACACACCACATCATTTATACATTCCGTCCTTTACACTGTCTCGCCTTTTCAGAAATAGTAAAGATTCCTTCAGCCCTAACTTGAAGTTTTAGTTTATTTATTAGGATGAATGCAACAAACAAAGAATTACGCAATGAAAGTGTGTGACTATCTTCTTTAACAACTAAATAAATAATGAATATTTTATGCAATTAAAATGTCCAAATTTTATTATTAATATTCGACTAAAAGCAACAGCTCCAACTTTGAAAAAGATAGTAGAATCTATGACAAATTATGGACCATAGATTCACAATGGCTACCACTACCATTCAAATGTCAATTTTCCAATGTCACGTTAGTTGTCATTGTCAGTACACCCGTGATGGATTAAATTTTAAAATAAATAATACAGTTTTGTGATCGTCTATTCAGTGTTCCCTTGTTTATATACACATTTAAGGTCGTACAAATTATTCAAGAAATATTTGAAGCTTTTATTACTGACCAACTTAAGTAAGATTAACTAAAAAATGGAATCGGATATTATCAACTGGAGTAACAAAGAAGTATTAGATTTATTACATAAAGAAAAAATATCTAGTATTATAACAGAAATCTGTAAATCACAAGATATTGATGGACAGTGTCTGTTATCTTTTGTGGATCGAGATTTTTATGACTTTCCTTTTGACCATTTAAAATTTGGTGAACGAAAGAGATTCATATTACTCGTCAAGAAATTACAAAAACAAAATCGTAATGCGATGTTCGAACTCGGTCTTTGCGAAGATGCTCTCAGTAATCCATCTACAAACATAAATTTTCTTGGAACTAACTTATCCCATTTGAGTTACAACCTTCATAACAAACTACCAAGTGAGATATATGTGAGAAATAATTCTGAGTGTGTGTCAAGTTTTACACCAGATGTGAAAGCTTCAAGATTGAAACCAGAAATTTGGAAGACAGCAATAGCTTTAGGTATCCTATTGTTTAATAAAAATATCTATTAAAAACTATTACATATTGTTTGCTCTCTTAAATGTTTGGGATTCAGTCCAAAGAATCTGTGTGAGAGTAATAAACATGTGCATATAACAATGTATCATAACATTAAATAGTTGCAAAACATGTGTGCACAATGTACTTGTTTGTAAAAAATAGATTTTAATCAAAATATAATCAATATTTTGCAATTAATGTTCTGAACTTACCTTCATTCAATAAAGTTTTAATATTAAATAAAAAGACAAAGAGCTTCAAAAACATTGTTATAAATAAGTTTAATGTTGGTTTTTGTCAGGCTATGTCTTCCTAGTGACATGGGTGACTGCGGTGGTGATGGTGATTGTACATGACAAGGTGCCAGACATGAAGAAATACCCCCCACTGCCAGACCTGTTCCTGGACAATGTGCCACACATCCCATGGGCCTTTGATATGTGTGAGATCACTGGCTCCTTCCTCATGGCCATATGGCTTGTTGTCCTATTCTTCCATAAACATAGGTATGTATTCTATTACAAAATATCGCATTGAAATATAAATCTTACATAATTATAACATTTAATGAGAAAATGTATAAAGGATGTCTGTTTACAAACAATTAATATGTATTGATAATAAACTGGTTGCTTATATGTCATTCTCAATAACAATGGGAACAATGAAAACAATCCGATTATGACCAAGTATTCAATGTAGAATTTTAGTATTGATATCTGAATGTTATAATGATAAATATGCAACCTATTCATTAAAAAATGCTTCATTATAATCTGAAATTAATCCTGACTGGATTTCATAATAGAAACTTTTTATAGATATAAATCAATATTCATGGAATAAAAAAAAATACTACACACTTTTTTCCAACTAAGATGAAATTCACTAAAATGTAAACATAATCAATTGTAGGTAGGTATGTAAGTTAAATCAAGTCACTTTATATACTTGTCAATTATCTTAATGAAATATGCAAATGAAATTAACTAACTAATTGTGTAACCTATTATGTGTAAATTAAGGTATACTTGGATTTTAGCTCAATTATTTTTTTAATAAGTTGTTGCCTAATTTAATCATAATACTTTTTCCAATGCAGTGTATGTCAACTGCACTACAAACTAATGCAGGAAATAGAAACTACGCATTCTCTTTGTGACATTCCAAAAAATAAATAGCTGCATCATTTGTACATAAATATTTATGTTAACTTGCAATGTGGCAAGCAATGTTTTGTCAAAATGGTGTGATGTGTGGCAATAGTAACCAGACTGACAAGACACATTTAAGTAGTACAAATTAAAGATGCAACAAACATAAGTGGTTATGAAACAAATGGTCACCAGCCACAATTGCTTCCAAACCCTCTGACATTGCCTGTACAATCATTTTCATTGGTAAATCACAAAACAATTTGTAATTAGGAAAATGTCACTCAATGTCTCAGTTTCACCTTATGACCTTATTTATATAAATACAATACAAATGTTAGAAATCTAAGTGACTTTAGAATGAAAGGTGATTACATAAGTTAATAATGTCGCCATTGCGCGCGTAAGCATGATCATGTACACTATATAGGTACAGTGTACCACATAACAGTATGGAACTGTTATTTTCACTGCTCATATTGCGTGCCCACTAAGTATTTTATGGCTCTCGACTTCCAATAAAATTGTATTTTGCCTACCCAGTAGACTCATAAAACATTTAGTTGTTTTTGATATGCTACAATAATTTTTTTACGCGTTCTAGTATCCTAAGAGACTCCAATAGAACAAGTAGTTATGTAGTATTAACTGCTGTTGACGAGACTTTTCCACGCAACTTTAATGCCATATTTGCCATACAAATAATCACACAAAGGTTCCGCGAGCCCTTAGCACCATTTATTTTGCTGGACAATTCTACTTTTATGACGTTAAATACAGCTCATATTTATGTAAAAATTTATTCACGCATTCACATATAAACAAGTTTTTGTTGAATACATACTTGTTTTAGTATCTATTAGATATGTAAACAGTTATTTGTGCATTCTCGTCTTAGAACGAATTTATTATAATATTTTATAGCAGTCAGACGTAGCAACTACGCCACACAATTGTTCAACCTGTTTAGATAATAGCTGTAAGAAAATGTATGTCTCTAATCATATCCAGAACAATCAATCTCGATAGCATCAACCATGCATTTCATTAACGTAGTTATTTCTAAAAGGTAGTATGCGTAGTCAATTGACTGTGCGTTTATCCCAATCCAAACTTGTCATAATCGCCGAGAAATCATTTTTGCACCAGTGCGCAAATAAATCTGAAACGCACCATCTAAGAAATACAGTCGATGAGACTCCTAACTGGGTGTAGGTGGTAGTTATTTTCCCATTTAGGGCTAGTCGAAATTGCGTATGTTGCCTAAATTAGTTTTTTAATAGTCAACGATTTGACGCTTTAGGCAACGATGAAGACGTGTCCAAAATATTAGAAATGCATGCATAATGCATATTACCGAGTATACACAACCGTTGTGCGACCAAAGTATACGTTGTTGACTCATGTGTAATTGACGTCCAATTTCCGTTATGATTCACAAAATATACTTCGTTATACAAAGGCCTTTGTGCGAGTGTCGCCATCGTTACAAACAAAACGACAAATACAAAGAAAGATCGTTTACATTGAACTTCTACGCAGTGCGTGTATTTGTACAAAGAGTAGGGGTACATTTGTAGAGGTATTATAAATACACATGTATACAGAAGCGTATTTTAATGTTATATTAATGTTATTTCTAATTAACGTGGTCCGAGCACATGTCGATGTATGTGGGGCACGTTTATTTCCGATGCACTTTCGAATACTCGGCCAGCACATGCAGCTTTATGTTTGAGGTCATTCATAATGAGCCATTTGTCTGCTGCCTATGATATTGTGATTTCACTAAACTTGCCTTGATGTGGATGTTAACAGTTATGTACTTATCTACAAAAGTTACGATAACGTTACCTACGCAGTTATTATTGACCGCGTATCATCGCGGCCAAAGAATGTATGATTTGAAGATGACGTAACAAGAAGTTTGTTGTTATCAATTTGTTGTTATTTGAATGTAGGTTGTTAGGTTTGTAGCGTACCCGCACGCCTGTTTTATTGAACTTATGTAGTTAATAAAAACGGAGCGTGCGTCACGTCCATTAGCCAATTTAGCTGTCTACTAGTTAAATGAGGATTCCTCACGACACTGAATATGACTAGCTGGACCCACAAGTATTTATCAGGGTTTTTCGGTAAAGACAATTTTCCGTAAATTATATTAGTTACATTAGGTATAAATATCAACGCTGACCGTATCAAATTGCAATAATCAATACACACTTTTTATTAATTTTGTATGCCAATTTACCCGCTAATTATTAGGTACCCGCATTTTAGTAGGTAGAGGTACAGCTCATCCTTTTATAATCTCACACAATTTTAAAATACTTCTGATTATACAAACAACGGAAACGCATAGAAACGAATTAGTTATGTAAATATTGTACACATTCAAATTAATTTATTAGCATAACATGGGAAGTTATATGCAATGGTGGCAATAGATTTGACGCCCTTGATTTGTCTGTCACTGTATCATACCCGACCCTGGCCTTGCCCTTGATAAAGTTGGCACAAAATTCAGAATTATCTATTTACAA